CGTATTATTTAATGATGCTGCAATAGCTGCATTCAATTGTTCTTCTTCACTCATATCAGTCAAACTCTGGATTGTTGTTAATCTCTATTTATATCACCTTTGTTTCTTTGGCTAATTTGGGTCGTTTCATTGTTGCCTTTTCCTCGGCTGCTGCACAACCCTCAAGAAATTCGGTAACTGTACATGATCAAACTGAGTCAACTCGTCATTTGCAGTCTTTTGTTCATTTACCTTCCATCACAAAGTCTGTCGGACTCAATGACTTTTCCCAAACTTTTACTCTTTCGCCAGTACGCGAGTCGATGATTGCAATGTGAGGATATCTTCTTAGTGAATAATATGTGCAATATCTTCTACCATCCGGACTTTCATGTCCAAACTAAAATCATTGTTTTAGTCACTCTATCCTAGAATACAGAATATATTCTCTTCTTTACTTGAAGAAAAATAAACCATTGCCTAATTATATCTTTGACAAATCCATCACTCCATAAATCACGGTTGAGCACTTGACATGAAAATTCGCTTGGGTTTTGTATATTAACCATTATCCACTTGTCGTTTTCTTTGGCTGTCTCTCGAGCCTATATATTCACCATGAATATCATCATAAAGCACAACCATACACACTTACTTGCTCAAAAGAGCCACGAAACATGATATCAAATGGTGGTCTGAATAAATCGGCTAATCTTCTAGCTTTAGAATGGCTTGAACTGTTAGGTGTTTCAGAAGGTGAAACACTCCTAGGGCTGTGATCTAATGCATTCATTAATGATGACCATTCTCTAAAAGCAGTCATGTTCTCTCTCTCTCTTACCATCATCCTCTGTTATATCAAACACGTTCACAATAGATCCTGTTGTTGAATCGCCTTGATTAAATATCGATGGACGACTTATACCATCTACGAGAATGGATGTGGTTTAGTATCTTGCATAATAATAATAATCTGGATTCACCTACTTCTTTCTCTGCTGCTACTTGACCAAGCAATACTGGGATCAAATAAACCAGCGTCTCCCGCAAGAATGTCACGCTTAGGTGCAATGGGTGCTCTAACTTCCTGAGATTCTTGTAATCGTCTTGCTAATTCTTCGTCAGCCAAGACTTGATCTTCATTTATTTCAACATGTTCTGGTTCTCTACTTGATGTCGCAGTATCATGGGCACTCGTGTTGACAGGTGCACCACCATTTTCTAAGAAAAGGGTAACTGCTGTTTGAACATTACCATCAGCTATCTTTTTTATTTATTGAATAAGCAAACCCAAACTAGAGAATAATCTACACTTTTATACCTCCAAGAATTGATTAGCTACTTCAACAGAAGCACCTGTGATATCGCAAAAGCTTAATATATCTTGTTCATTTGCCATTTTAACTTTTGCGTATGCGTATTTTTTTTAAAAAGAAAAAAGAGAAAGAAAAAAAAAAAGACACGTACTGCTTTTTCGCTAATTTATTTACGCATAAAAAAATGATAATTGAAGATGAATTGTCCCTCAGACCGTATACTGAGGGGACATTTGTGTAAAATGACGGCTTACTTCTTTGACTGTTGACCTAGTAGTCATAGATAAATAATCTTAAAAAAGGACAGATGTCATCACGTTACTTGCTGTTAGTTTAAAACGTAGCAACAACAGATCATAAAATATATGGACCAAAGTTAAATAGTACACGGATTAATAAAAAAATAAAAATATAAGCACTTTATTTCATTAAAATATGTTTAAGCAAAGAAAAATTGTGGACCATGTCCTTGAGGACCATGATGGTGACCATGGTGATGATAATGCTTCATAAACTTCTTCATAAGCTTCATTCTCTTCTTAGGATCAAAACCATGAGCAAAACTTTGTGGATCTTCAAAAGGTCCAAAACGGGAATGGGGACCGGGGAAAGGGCCTTGATGGCGTCCAAAGCAAGCATCAGGGCCAGAGAAAGGGCCTCTACGATGTCCAAAGTGGCCTGCAGGATCAAAGAAAGGACTTCCATGATGTCCAAAGCGATCACCCTTGAAATGATGATGAGGATGATGACGGTGGGAGTGTCCTTTGTCTTGAGCAAATTCGTCCTCGCTACTATCGTCTGAGGAACTGGATGAGCTAGAGGAGCCTTCGAAAGGTAAGTTGTCTTCTTTTTCAGCAATTGGTGCTTCTTCTTCTTCTTCTACTTCACTTCTTTGGCCATGACGGCGGTGATGACGATGAGAGTGACGATGGCGACGGCCAAGACGATGAACACGCATTCCTTTACATTTTTTTCCACCAGTAACCATTTTTGCAAGCTTTTTCAATTCGCGATCAAAGTTTTCTTCAGGAGACATTGCCATATAAGTAGCCAAAACACCTACCCATCTGGAAGCAAAGTGGTCAAGAGGTTGATGTTGCTTGACAAGTGATGCCAGCTTTTCAAATCCACAGGACACCAAAAGAGGTTCAGCGGCCTCGGGCACACTACTGAAACGAAGCCCGTCGTAGGGCGTCTTTACCTCGTCCATCAAGTGACTAAGCTCTGTTTGATTTGAAACAGTAGCAGTTGCATTCGTTACAGGATGACGGTAATAAAGAACTAAAGAGTTTGTGTTAGGTGGCGCCTGAGGGATAGATAATTGAAGGATAGTTACGAGATTATCCCAAGTGAGCTTTTCAGGTACCAATTGAACACGGTGAACTTGCTTGTCAGCAAAAGAGACAAAGATGTTTAAGGCCATTTTTAAATTAAGAAAAAAGATGTGTATGAGGTTAAGAACAATGAAAGTATTTCCTTCCTCTTTTATACCTTTTTCTTGATCTGATTTCTCGCTGCGGTATCGCCAAGAAAGCTTGATATGCAATTTGAGCCGAACGAGCGCACCCGTACTATTCAGTGTGAGCAGCGCCGAGTGGCCGCACTTTTGATTGCATAAAAAAGAAAATGATTGGTCACTGTGACAAAAAAAAAGGTGCCGATTTCGGCGCCTTGTAGCTGGTAAGCCTTACTATTCTAAACGTGGATTATAATTGCTGGACTAATGGTTTTTATTCGTTTCTAACAACTGATCTTATTGTTCATTTCATGATTTAGATTATTATACTGTATTTACCGTGAGAAGGATTATCTTGTCAATTATTTAAAAGATATATACCAATGCATTGGGAAAGAGTACTCTGTATCATCACACTTGTTATATAATGATATATCAAAAAAGATCCAGCAGTTAGCCTTTTTCTAGGGAAACCACAAAATGCTTTCAGTTTAATAAATTATATCTCTCAAAAGTAGATAATAAAGAGATTAAACACAAATATTGACTTTATCACGTACAAAGTGATTTATATAAAGTAAATCCATGATTTATTCTAAAATATTTCAATTTTCCTTTATGCTCGTCTTGATGCGAGGGAACAGAACGCCACCCATTTCACCCAATGGTCTCTCCTTATTCACTAGTTTCTTTGCGTCTTTAAAGTATCGTTCCTCTTGAGAAACCCCTAAGCCAGTTAGTAGCTCATTCATCTTTGTAGGCATAACAGGCTGTAGAAGAATTCCTGCAATACGACATGTCTCTAAGGAATACCATAGAACTGTATCAAGTTTATCCTTTTCTTCAGGTTTCTTTGCCAGGTTCCAAGGCTCAGCGCGAGTAAAGTATTTGTTTGCCTTTAACAAAGTTAATAATGGCATTTTAATCTTTTTCTGATTGTGATTTACCTGCGATAGAAGATCGACGATTAAAGACAGTGCTCTTCCAAATTGTCGTTCTTCAAAGGCTTCGTGGTATTTATCTATATTATTGAATGATTATCAGTAATTAAATCATAAAAAAAAGCTCATATATACCTGCCACTTCCAATAACATATGATGCAGTGTTTCATCTCCAATGTCAATGTCCTTTCTTGTAGGTACTATTCGACTGGGAAGTAAGGCTTTACCTGTCGCTCGGCTTAATAAGTTACCAAATTGACCGGCGAGTTCCTTTGAATAAAGTTGTGCAATCATTGTCTCAGAATAGTCTGCACAAAGCATGAGTAGATTTTTATAGAACGCTATTTCTCTATACCTGCATCGTCTGCCATGCCACCATTATGGACAAGATAGAAGCGAACAGGGTCAACGCCGTAACGGTCAATGACCTCAAAGGGATCTGCAACGTTTCCTCTGCTCTTTGACATTTTTTGTTTATTCATCGTCCAATGGCCATGTACAAGGATCTGTTTGGGTATGGGTAAACCAGCTGCCATCAGGAAGGCAGGCCAAAAGATGGCATGAAACCTAAAGTCGTAGTGAATATCTAAGCTAGTTTATTATTATTATGTACTCTACCTTACAATGTCCTTTCCAACAATCTGTACGTCAGGAGGAAAGGCGTCCTTTAAGGGTGCATCCTTTTTCCAAGGGTATCCAGTTGCAGTAAGGTAGTTTGTTAAAGCATCTAACCAAACATAGATTGTATGCTCTGGATCATTTGGCACCTGTATTCCCCAGTTCAACCGTGCTCGTAAGCGAGATACAGATAAATCAGCGAGCCCAGCCCGTATCCAAGAAAGAACTTCGTTTTTTCTGTTCTGAGGCACAATGGCCTTCGGATTGTCATCGATCCATTTGAGCAAATCCTTTTCGAATGCAGAAAGTTTGAACTTGTAGTTTTCTTCAGACGTCCACTCCACACGCTGCCCTGATTCTTTAGATACCATGATTTTTTCACCTGTCTTTTCGTCTGTCACTTCTTCAACCTGAGCAGATGCGTAGAATGCTTCATCAGATACCGCGTACCACCCTTCATGCTTTCCCTTGTAAATGTAACCGTTCTTTAAAAGTGTGTTCTATTAAAGTATAAGACAGGTTTCCTTTTTTCGAGATCTTAATTAATATATATATATATATACCCATAGTTCATTGACAGCAGTCGCATGATCTTTACTTGTTGTTCGTTGGAAACTCGTATATTGAATGTTGGCTGCTTCACACAGTTTCTATACATATAATAAAGATCAGTTTGTGATGCCTCTTTTTTAATTCTAAACGTACCTTGAAGCTGTCAGATACTTTATTACAAAAATCCAATGGTTCCATACCATTCTTTTCTGCAGCTTGTTGGATCTAAAGAAAGAGTGAGTCAAGGGAACTGTGGTACTTTTGAAACTACCTTCAGACCGTGTTCATCAGTTCCAGTTGATAGGATGGCCTCTTTTCCATGCAATATATAATATCTACGAAGTGTATCAGCCAATACTGTTGAATAAAGGTGACCAATATGAGGAACTTTGCAAATAAAACAACCCATGTTAATGATCTAATAACTTTATGCATGGTAGATCACCTTACCTGCATTCACATAGTAAATAGGTGTGGTAACATATGCTTTTGTATGAGAGTGACGCTGATATAGTTTAGAGCCAAAAAGAAGGTTTGTCCTTTTGGAAGCAACTCCAAGCCGTAAGGTGCGCATAAGGAAAGACCCTTTGAAGATAAAATGAAGTCAAAAACAGGGAAGAGGCTGATGTTCAAATTTTGTTTTGGGTGTCTTTTTTTTTTTTTTTGGTCTGTCAAAAAAGCATCTTTCACGTTCAACATGTATAAACTTTGGCTTATGGGTTTCTTAAAGCAGCTTAAACAGAGAGAGAAACAATTCCGATTATAACAAATAGTACTTGTTTTTTCAAGTTTATTTTTTTGACAGTTATTAGACTAATGTGTTTATTTGTTTACTTTCTTTTTTAAAAAACAAACATCACATTTTGTCCTTGTCAAACATTTCTTTTTCTTTCTCTCTTTTCCCGTTTTCTTTGTTCATTAATTATGTCAGCTACTTTAAGCAGATTGCCCTTGATTCCCTTATCTCCACTTGTTCAAACATCGATTGACTCTGCCAAATATCTTGCAGCAATCACTCAAAATTTATCTGAACATCCTGATGACACTAGGCTTCAGAAACATCTATCTTCAACCAGAGAAAAATTAGATCAAATCACCAAACACACCCAAACGATTCAAGTGAGCTTCCTTACTCAATTTAGTACACAAGAGATTGCACAAGAGATTGCCTATATTAATTCTCAGCTCTTTCGACTGGTCGTTCTTGATTCTGCGTGGATAGCCAACTATGATAAACGAGTGAACGTGATACCTATGTTGGATTTTCACAGATATTTGTCTCATGCATTTGCTCATGAAATCATTTGCAGCTCCTCAAGAAATGATGGGAATATCGTGGCTCATCTCATACAAATCGCTACAATGCTTCTGTTTGTTTATCGTGACTTTTCTGGTTGCACAGCCATTCTCAAATGCTTACAGATGCCAGAAATACAACGAATTGAAAACGCCTGGAGCCAGTGCCCGCCCAAGATGATAAAGGTGTTTAAAGAGCTCTTACCTCTTATATCCCCAGATAATCAATATGAAGTCTACCGCCAGGCATTATGGTCATTGACTCACAAATTTCTCGATATGCCTCCTATGCGATCCCGCATGGTCGCCATACCATTTATGCATGCTCACTTTCAGGTTATACAAACAATCCCATCAACAGTCCAAATATTGGAATTTTGCCAGCAGTTTACAAAAATAGACCCGAGCATACTGGGACCCACAACCTCATCAGTAAAATTCACCCAGGATCCCAAAAAACCAAGTATGGATCTCGAACAGCTCCATACTAACCCGGCTGTTTATCATTGGCTTGTCTCGAGAGCTTATTTAACCTATGCACAACTGCGATGTGAAAGTGTGCATGTCATACCTTTGACTGCAGGAGAAAGGTTGCCTGAAATAGAAGAGGAGCATGATCTGTACTGGAAGTTCTTCCGGTTGGAAGAAGAAGAAGAAGAAAATGATGAAGCCTTGAAGGATGTTGAAATGAAACTTATTAAGACTCAAGAGGACATTACAAATCAAGTACAAGGCTCTAGCAATAGTAGCAGTAATAATAAGGTTGATGACAGTAATAGCCACACTACTACTACTACTACTACTACTACTACTGCTGCTGCTGCTGCTGCTGCTGATGATGATGATAGTGATGCTATGGAGATAGTGAATACAGAATCTTTGGTCATCGAAAATAATAAGCTTGAATCCACAAATGAGATTGATAAACTTGATGAAAGCAACGCCAGGACACAACAAGATAATCACATAATTGCAACAAAGGAAATAACTATACCAGATAATGCGTCACAAAACAACACAGAGGACGTAGAGACAATCTCAGATAAAGTGCAACAGGAAAGTTTACCTGTAAAAGAGAAGATCATCGCCAAAGAAGAAGAAGAAATAGCGTCCAAAGATGATGCAAGTTCAATCAGTTTTGATAAAAAGTCAGGGGATAAGGAAGATGCATATCATTCAGAAGAGAGCATAAACAACACAAGCAAACTTAGCTCCGAAGAATTCGAGTGCATAGATCAGTCTGCATCTAGCACAAACGGAATATCAACGGAATCAGATATCGTCGCTTCTGACAAGGATGATACAAATGATCAAAATTTAGCTGTCTCTCATACAATGCCAGACCTTCTGCCGACAACAGCAACAGGTATTAGCCCAGAGGAAGACGAAAATGACGAAGAATGGACAGGATACCCATATGACGATAGCGCAAAAGAACAAGATGATGAAGATGAAGAATGGACTGGTTATCCTGTCTCGACACCGGATGAAGAAGAAGATGAAGAGGAGATTTGGAAAGGATATCCTGCTCCTGAACAGCATATTATAGAAGAATGCAATCCTTCGTTTGTACCTTGGGACAAAAGAGGTCAGTTACAAGCTATTGGAAAAGCAGCAGCAAGACGCATGCAGCATTCGTTATCTAGTACAGCAATGACTGAAACTGCAAGGAAAAGATTACCTTCTTCGTTTGGACAATCTTCCGCTTCTACTTGAGTTTATTATAGTTATTATATGTAAAGAAAAAAGTAAAAACGTATTTACAAATGAAGTATGCAAAAAAAAACAAGGGGGGAGGGGTGGTATATGTATAGTGTTTAGGGTTCTTCTGTACCCATATATTGATTACTTAAGAAATCAAATTCTTCATTGTTTTGAACAGTTTGATAAATGTGATAAGGTACCATCATTTTAGTGGACTTGTCTGCTGATCCTTGCTCTTGTTCATGACACAAGTCAACTGTCTTGGTTATCAATTTTTTAAGAAATGCGCGTGTTGCCTAGATGAAATTATTAAATTCATGCAATAAGGCTATTTGAGTTTTTTTTTTTTTTTTTGTAGTTTTACCTGTGTTAACAAGTTCCCGACTAGCAGTCTTTGTTCCATAGCTGATGGTAAATCAAAATCAGATGTAGGGCCTTGCAAGTTTCCATCTCTTCCTAGAGTCATATCATTGGCAATAACACTCTTCAGTCGTAATTGGCCAATAACAGACCATATCCAATCCATAGCACGTTCGTTTGCAACATTCACACCTTCTCCATAGCTCCACTCTTTTAAGTTTTCAAGCAACTCACGCCGACGTTGAATTTCTTCTTCGGATGTCTTTGGCTTTTGCTCATCCATATCAACATCAATATCCAGCTCATCTGAAAAACAATCGTTAGAAACCTTATTTTGCATGAAAACCACACCCTTTTACCTGCATCGTTTGATTCGTCCCAACCGGGTTCTAACTGATTTAATAAACGTGATACGCTTGTCGTACTATTGATAACTCCATTACGCTTTCTTGTATTCCAACCTTTTGGACGACGTGGACATTGATCATCCACTGTTTCGTCGTGTCCATCTCGAAGGCTACCACAAAACTTACAAAAGCCTTGTACTGTAGTCTCAGCAATATTTTCATCTGTATCTGTTTTTGTAGGTGTATACTTGTTTTGAACGCACCAAATCAAAACATCTTTTGTAGAGAGTGCTTCGGCAGCTATTCTTAACACATTATCGTTTGTTTCAAATGCCTTTTTTTGAGTCTCCAATCGTAGCAGACGAGCACGATGCCATTCAATTGCCTTTCGTTTACCAACTGGTAATTTGATAAAGGCCTTTGCACTTGGAACAAAGCTGTATGGAAGGGCTTTACCATGCGACGAGCCTATATGAATCCAGTCAGTAATAGAAATACAAAAAAGTCAGTATTAATTTACCTGCTCGAACGAGTGGTAATTGCTGAACGGCCTCCTTCAAGATGCCTCCTAGTAAACTCATTTTTTGCTTTACTGCCATTACCGCCGGCGGTTCCAGTGTAGGTGTATTCATAGGCGAAATGGTGGTTTTATCAGTAAAGTCTGTATTTCTATCTAGTTCGATTTCAATGCTTCTTTCGCTTCCGAGCATCTGCTTTCCAGAATGGGTATCATCTAATTTTAAATGATGTATAATATCTACTGATTTGTTTCTACGCTTATCTACAAAAAAGAGCTGAATACGGATTGGAAACTCTCCCCACCCAAGACGGGTGAGTTTGAATGGAGGCTCTATCACGTCAACCACATTATGAGGTTTATAGCTTGGATGTAAATGAAATCGAACACAAGTAATAAAATCTTCCTGCTTTGTCTGTGGTGGTTCAACAACATATATCATCCATTTATGTGTAAACTGTTTCAGCAAAGGATCGCGTCGTTCTGGGCTAATGAATTTACTGACATTGCCTACAATGATACGTCGCTTTATGTAAAATCTGGAGCCTACGTCAGCTGTTGAAGCCAAAGACGAAGAAGAGGCGGGGATGGCCCTCACAGCTGCGGCTACTGACTCTACTGCAGGCGCATTTGATTCCTCGCCCTTATTCTCCTCGACATTTGGTTGACCATTCATTAAGGTAGGTGTTGATGGTGTTTCTGTTTCTTTATTTTCTTCTTTATCTATTGACGTGGTTACAATCTGATCAGTCACTGTACTCTGTTCTCTTGGTGTTCCCACTGTCGGTGTATCTGCTGTAGTTGTTTCCACTGTAGGTGTACCCGCTGTAGATGTTTCTACTGTAGGTGTGCTCGCTGTAGGTGTATCTGCTGTAGGTGTTTCCATTGTTGGCGTGTATGTTGTGGGCGTGCCTGTAGGTGCGTTATCCATTAATACATCTGTTGCTTTTTTGCTGGTCTCTAACTCTAAATCGACATCTTCTTCAAATACTTTGATTGATGGCTATAAAATAAAGGGTCTGTTAGATATTGACATCCAACACAACTACGTTTTACCCTCTCGAGCTTTTTCGAGGTTGGCCTATTATATTAAAAAGTTAAAAAAGAGCTCTTTAGCTGAAACAACACTGGTACTTACTTTGATACAGCAGGAATAATGCTTAATATTGGCCTTAATCGCGCTGGACTATCTAACGGCACCTCTGACTCATCCACAGGTGTTCCACATTTCAATAACATTTGTTCATATGGTCCGAATTCCAGGTTATGTGATATTCTGCAGTGATTCAAAAATCCTTGCTGATTGGCAAAATCACCACGGTGGCACGCAGGACATGCTAAACTATAGTCAAATGTAAGGATCCTAGTTTTAACGTGGCATAATCTGTTATCATTACCTCACGTAAACGCCATCGTGTCTTCTGCCATACAGCTGATTCTTTTCGGGATTTCGGTACACTTTCCTCTTGGGTGTTGTTGGAGTTGATGGTGTCGGCTGTGGAAACAAGCCGTTTTGATACATAGCTGATCGACGGGTATAATGTGATGATTCAGGTAGTGAGCTAGCCATGGATTCTGGTAATAAAAGTATAAGTTATTGCTTTCCTCCAGCGTGTGTATAATGATACCATTTTTAATTGCTTGTTTCAAATCAGATAAAATATTCTCTGCTCTTGTTATCTCTTGCTTAATAGTTGCAATTTCTTTTTGCTTGAGATAAATCTCCAAATCAAATTGATGATTTATTATGGTTACGATCTTTTCTCTTGTTGCTTCGTCTAAAGTATATGTTAATTAAACAGTTAATGCATAAGCTATCAAAAAAGTACCTCTCGGAACATTTCCTATTGTTTTTTTATTTGACAGATGACTTGGTGGATCTACATTCGGTAGTTCCATCCCTTTATTACTTTCTTGTTATCAAGTGAATGGAAAAACAGGTGAATGAGTAGTGTGCAGAAAATTAAATAAAAGCAAGTCACGATTTGACGCAAAACTGAGAGTTAGCTCACTTTACAAAAAGTGAGCTTTGTGGAAACTACTCTTGATGAAATGGACAGTCATAAATAACATCCTTATATATAAATTAAATAATATAGGAAAGTATATTCATTCTCGAGAATATTGTCCATTGTGTTCCAGAAATTACAATAAAAGTGAACAGCTAAAATAAACACGCTTCAATTAATTATGCATGGGCTTACACAACTGTCTAAGAGCTTTATGGCTGGCTTTGTTGTCAATTGGACCAAGAGAGAGAAATTCTGAAGAGAGTAGATTCAGGTACTATACGTTGATGAAATGAATTCGGAGACTGAACTAATGTATGATGATGCATACGTTTCGAACAAGTTGATATTCAACTCTTACCCATTTCTTTCGCATTTAAAATCACCAGCACGGTCTATCTATTTAACAGCGGTAGAAGACATGCTTCCTTAAGGAAGTATATACAATCCACATGATCAAAGATATGACCAAGGAGAAATTTAGCACTTGTCAACCGGGGTTTCTTGCATAGCTGGATCTCCCAAATTCTGCTTATTTCGCGAGCATTGCCAGGAAAAGCCCTCAATGTATTAAAATGTGGATGAACGTTTCAGCCAACTGCTTTAAACCGATGCTAGGAAAAAAAACACGTCAACAGCTGACGTTTTCTATAAGATTCTGTCATCCATTCTTGTACTACAAAAAAAGAAGTAAGGATGAAACTATTCCAAAAAAGTGCTCTGATACTGTATTTTCTGAAGAATATCTACGAATCTATATTAAAGAAAGTTCATTTCTATGAATGACAATCAGTCAAAACAACCAGGTCATGTATTTGTATAGGATATTTTTAAACTAAAACATCAGACTTAAACCTCGTATAATTGATTACATTTATCCCAGTCATTTTACGTCCATGGAAGGGGAAGCTAACCTCAGACCAGATATGGAGCTTTACATAGGTATCGATAGGGTTCGATTTGACTCTCTTATCATTAAAGTAAAATGACCGAATAACACCAGCGGAGATATGATTTACTCAAGCTGTCAGTTGAGATGTAGCATATTCTGAAACGTTTAATATAGCATAGAGCCAACAACCCTGATGTTTTCGGTGTACTGGTATATGGTATGTGGACCTATCATTAATATTTACACACTACGTCAACTATTCAAACTGTAGAGGACGCAGTTGCAGCTTTTACAAGATGACGTTTGTTGCACCAAAAGTCTAAACAATGGTAAGGATTAGAACGTGTTTTCTTCCTCGTTGTTCTGAAGATTTGCAACGTAGCAATCAGCATCTTGTTTTCGTTTGCACTACTACGAGATCTGCTTTGTGAACAAGTACAATTAATAACACAGAACAAAAGCAAAGGAAGCACCGCTATTAACTGGGCTTACAAGCCATGAATAGAAGTTGATAGATAAAGTTATTGTTTTTTCTTTGTCTACCGAATACTATCAAAGTAGCTTTATACACAAACGTGATAAAGTACCTTTTCTTGATAGTTAAGGAAGGAAGCTCTGGCCATGAAGATGAGAGTTGACAGAGAGGCACTTCCTCGAAGGTAGGTGCTATTCAACTTTTCTCTCAACAGAAATATCATCAGTTTGTTAATTGAAAAGTATAGCAGTAAAAATCGGGAGGAGGCTATCTCTACTCGAGGTTCTCTGCAGTGTTGGTATACAATAAAAACCGCCTTATTTTCAAACACCACCCATTGGCGTTCGGGTGACTAAAAATACATTTAGACCCATTTTTGCAGGATCGCTAAAAAAAGCCGTATTTTCCCAGAAATCTTTGTTTAAAGATAAGGCCGTTTTTTAACCTAAAAAGAGACGATCACAAGTCCGCCTGAATTATTGTAAAAATATATGAATAAAGAACAAAAGAAAAGAAGGAGAAGCTATGAACCTTTAGTAGAGATGGATTATGTTTGCATTCTTCGGATCCTGCAATATTAGAGTTAACATTGGTTTCAAGGAAAGTAATTGTTTTGGTTAAATTAGGAAATGAAGAATGAAGTAAGCTAAATAGAAGTTTCTTTATGCATCAAAGAAATCAACGAATCATTATTTCTTTTCTAGTCTGTTCCGCGTTACTTTTTATTTGGTATATTCATCTTGTGTTTTCTTTTTTAATTCTCATCAATTATTTTGTCGTGTGAGTATATTTCAAGTCAAGCTGACCAGTACAATAACGCTACAGCATGTGTCACGTTATTTCAGGCACAGAAGTTACTTTTTTGAATAGATCCGTTCTGCACCTTCCTTTTAAAGTTACTGACCATATTTCTGTGTAACGATCAAGGGTTTTTCTTTGGTGATTTCCATGGTTTCCAAACCATTCCCTTTTTTTTTTTTTTTCTTTCTAACTAAACATGGTTGCCTTGACAAATAATGGACAGCTAAAACAGTCAATTTCAGATCTAACAACAGAAACCAAATCTACAAAGGGAGATATTCCACCTGCTCTTGTAGGTGCATCTACTACTGTTATCGGTAATGATCTCTATGTTTTTGGCGGGCGAGTCGCTAGTTCACGACAAATGACAAACCATCTGTATATCCTCAATTTGCCCACTCTTGTCTGGATGCGACATATCGCGCCTCCCGATTCAGCTCTACCTCCATCACCGCGCTACTTCCACTCAGCTACTGCTTATAAGAATAGATACATCGTTGTCTTTGGAGGCATGTCTAATGTGTCCCCTACCAATCGACGCAAACAGGCACCTAATGACGAAAAGCTATACGCAATGGACGATATCGCCATGTTTGATGTCGAGACCATGTCCTGGATCGACATTCATTCTTCACCTAGTATCTTTACTCCACAAGCCCGCTATGCTCACTTGGCTACCATCTGGAATGATGACAAGTTTGTGATCTTTGGAGGACAGGACGCGAATAATCAGCATGTATACGAAACCAATGTTTTTGATCTCAAAGACTCGTCTTGGATTCATGGTGGCCCCATCCAGGGTTCATATGATGCTTACCGTGCAGTGGCCTTTTGTCCCTCTTCCGAAAACATTTCCTCTTATTATGGTAAATTGTCCACGCCCTTCTGGGATCGAAGTAATGACGATAAACCACCCGTATGCATCTATGCCAACTACAACTTTAATGATCTTACTCGCGATCTCCACAGCTTCTGGCCACTTAAATCACCGCACACAGCCGAACTTCATCCGCATGAAATGACAGGTTCTCTGCTTCCACCAGGTCTCCGCTTCCCTACCGGCCAATTGGTTGGACAATACTTTCTTGTGTCTGGCACACTTCTTACACCTACGCAACGCGGCTATCATATCTGGGCGCTCAATCTTACCAATCTTTCTTGGACACATATCGATACAGGCAAGATGATGACACAGGGCTCCTGGAATCGAGGTCTGCTCTCTGGACAGAAATACTATGTACTGGGTCATAGCCAAAGAGATCTCAAGGAGGACTATAGTTATCGACGAATCAACTTTGATCACATTGGTATAGTTGACCTTGAAGCATTTGGCATCTTTGAACTACCCAGAGCTACTTGCTCACCACTTGCTCAAGAACTGGGTCTCGCCATGATTGATGAACCAACTATATCTGATATTACCATTTGGACTTCCGATCAGCAATCGGTCGCTGCCAATTCGACCATTCTAGCAGAACGCTGGCCCGATTTTGCTCAATTGCTGCAGGAAGATCAAAATCAAGAAAAGAAAATCTTGTATTTCCCTGAAACACACGCAGTTACTGTTGCCTTCTTGCAATACCTTTATACAGATCACGTCATGACTGCACAGCAGCACCAACCTCAAATCCTTGCTCGTCTCCTGGTGCTTGCCGATATGTACCATATGGACCGATTGAGGCAGTTGACAACATTTGCCCTGCATCAACTCCTTACGATCTCTACTGCTAGCTTAGTTTATGAAACAGCCACTCTTACCTTCCAAAACGCTCTGCAGATCAGAGCTCTTCGAGTTTTGCTCAACACTAAACGCTTATTGCAGCAGCAAAAGGAACATCAACAACATCTGCCACCACCTCTGCCTCAGACTCCCATGGAAGAATGGACCCCCAGCGTTCCACCATCTCCTGCGATCACCGTCCACGGTAGCAGTGGTGCCTCATATTACTCTTCTGGTGATGAATATTCTTATCCTGGATCTCCTCCTCCCTCTTCTTACTCGTTTACAAACCTCCGTCGCCTTGCACAGCCACCACCTACTCCTACTGAACCAAGATATTTGTATTCTTCACCGTCAAAATCAGCACCTGTAGGCACATCACCTATCCCTAAAAAGAAAATACCAGAGTATGGTTTATTTAATGTACTATAAAAAAAAGTTGATATACCTGCAATTTTTTTAATAATAGGCCTGGAGCCAATCATTTAATAAAAATATATTTAAAAGCCACGAGGAAATGTCTTTTTCTTTTTCTTTTGCACACAATGTCTACCAACAGTAAAAGTTTGAGACTCTCTTCTTTTCCTTGTTTATTCCCATTGCTCACTTTCTCTCTGCTCCTTTTTTTTTGCAGCTTCAGTTTCTACAGTTCCTAGAGATCAGTGGCCATTTGTGGAAGTTTTGCCAGACGAGTATGAGCGTGAGTTAGAGACGATCGATGTGTATATTGCCAAGATAGATTGTAAGCAAACAAATCCACTATTAAAGTATGTCTTGTTTCCTTTTGGTTTTTGTTTTTTTGCTCATCAGCTTTCAATAGATTTGTACAAAAGCATTTACCAGCATTAGAGCATTTAGAGCATTGTAAACGAATCAGACGACCCACTCATGAAAAGACAGCAGGTTTTTTTTTTATTCTCTTTGAGACAAGCTTGCTTTCACTTTCTGTGACTGACTCTTTTCAAAAACAAACCACTATACGAGTATAGATATAAAGTTAGAAGTTATCCTTTGCTTAAGAGACAAGATATCAAAAGAGGAGCTAATACAACTTCTCGAGCAAAATGGGTTTGGTCAAGCAGAGATCACAGTCGCGTCTGTGTGTAAGCATGCTCCATTGAATAGAAAGCAGTACGAGGCATGGAAAGATCTTTGGCCATTGTCCTATCGAGAGGACACACGGCTGGACCCCAAATTTACCGAGGATGACATTGAGACGATTCATGCGCACATGGATTCGATTCTTGCAACAGACACCATCACCTGCCGAATCGTTAACCCATCGACGAACAGTGTGTTGGCGCAAAAAAGCGACTCGAGATCAGAGCATCCCCTGCATCATGCTGTCATGAACGCTATCGATCAGGTCGCACAAGCTGAGCGATCGACTAAAAAGCGAGGGGCAAGAGAAATGCTTGAACAGGAAAAGGCGTCATATCTTTGCACAGGATACGATGTCTATGTTACTCATGAACCATGTGCCATGTAGGATTTTTTACTATATTTTTTTAAGCGGGAAATAACATGATAATAGGTGTTCTATGGCCCTAGTGCATTCTAGAGTCGCTCGCGTGTTTTACAGTATACCCTCCAAAACTGGTTGCCTAGGAACAAATTACAAAATTCATTCACATCCAAGTCTAAACCATCGATTCCGTGTGTTTAAGGACGTGCTGAAAAATAGAAAACAAATAGAAACAGGAAACATAGAAATATAAAATAAAAGCCACCCATTTTCCCACCACAATCTATATTTCTTTTTCTATATGCTATTTTTGCAGCGATGCTTTACTGTCTCAAGTAGACATGGCGTCAGGCACGTATCTACTGTGCGTGCACAGCAGAGCAAAGTTGACTGCTACATTTCAACCATCAATGATGTCTACTGGAATTTAGCCATAGAGGAATGGCTACTAAGAGAAACTCCAGCTGATCGATTCATTCTTTACTTATGGAGGAATAGACCTTGTGTTGTCATTGGTAGAAATCAGAACCCGTTTCAAGAATGTAATCTGCGGTTTATGCAAAGTCAACACATTCCACTTGTCAGAAGACGATCGGGTGGTGGTGCTGTTTATCACGTAAGAAAGAGAAAACAAATTGTACGGGTTTCTTCTAAACGAGAATGTGTTGTTCCTTTAGGATATGGGCAACTCAATTTATACTATATTTATGCCACGTGAAGCGTTTTCTAGAAGAGCGAATGCTGAGCTTGTTGCAAGATCTTTGAATCAGTTGGATATTGCGGCAAGTGTCAATGAAAGACATGATATTGTGGTAGATAATAAGAAGGTATCTGGAAGTGCATTCAAGATCACTACATCAAGAGCTTATCATCATGGTACAATGCTCATTGATGCTGACACGGAGACTCTCAAGAATTGTTTATCCAAAAAAAGAATGTCTAATGTTTGTGTGTGCGAATGAATATGCACAACGAAAGAGGGCTAATACTTTTTTTCTGTTTAGAAAGGCATCGTGTCGAAAGGTGTAGCTTCTGTGCCATCGCCTGTTACTAATTTGAGAGACTATTCTTATACAGTTGACCATCAGCAGTTTTGTGAATCAGTGCTATCTGAGTTTGTGAAGGCGTATAATGATGGTGAACCGGTTGAAGTAAGTCTAATGAATATAAAAAAAAAGAGATATGCACAGCTGACATAATAACTAGCCTATCGTGTTCGATAAGAACAGCGTGCTTCCAAAGAAAGTAATCGAAACGAGAAACGAGCTGACAACATGGGACTGGATTTATGGCCAAACTCCAGAATTTACAAACTCGGTCGAGACAGATTTTGAGTGGGGTCATGTGGTAAGATCACATAGACATAGTCTATTTCATTTCGGCTGACTAAATATTGATTGTATGCAGAAGGCGCATTTTCTAGTAAGGCACGGAAAGATTATGAGTGCAAGCATCACTACAGATTCACGATCAATGTATGGACCTACGATCTCAGCTGCGATCTCTGTTGCACTCGAAGGTAAGCCATGTCATTATGCAGCTTAAATATTTATTTCGTATGTTAGGCTTGGCTTATTCTGAACGTGTATTGGATGAAGCTATTGAAAAGATCAACAAGGAAGTACCAGGTTTAATTCATTCAGACAATGAGCAAGTGGTTATTGATATTTGTCAATGGCTTCGAAATAGACTGTAATAAATAATAAATTATTTTTAATTTGCTCCCTATTTGAACTTCATTTTAGCATCATTGCAATATTGGACACGAAAAGTAAATGGTTGTAGCAACCACACTTTGACTCTTGATCTATCAAGAACCGTTATATTTGGTATTGTTAGACTTTTTTTTTTATGAATAATGACAATAATAAAATCAAGCATTTACAGGCTTTGATAGCATGCACCGTACAGGAAAATCTCTTTTTCACTTCAGTTAGGATCTACCTGAAACTCTTGACAAACTATTCAATAGCCCGCCGGCTATTTTCATTAATCGACAAAACCTCATCTGTGGAGAGATGAACCTGAAGAGTCAGGTCTGAAAACTGCCCTACCGTCATCTTCTCCCCTCCTACTGCATTCTCTTGCATAAGCAGATGTTATAAAGGAACAAAAATTCTGTGAAAGGTTGGTGACCCTTAGTGACACAAGGTTAATCTATAAAGTTGTTAGCTTAATAAAGTCAATCCTTCTTTTTGTACGAAAAATTAAGTAATATCTATCTTATAGTCAAGACAATCTTTATTAAACCACGAAAGGTACAAGCATTCCCTTTTAACGCACTATACCAACTGTATAATTCATTCAATGTATGAATTATCACATGCACAGCAAAGCGCACAACTTTGGCGCCCAAATCCCCCTCCTCCAAAACTGAATCAGGACCCTGAATGTCATTTAGTGGTTAAATCATTTTATCAATCACATGATCTAATAATACCTGTTATTATTTGACATCACTTGTCATAAAGTTAGCTTAATACAAGTGATCATATTACACTTGACAAATGGTATAAATATGTCCATCATTTTCTCGACGATCAACACTCTGTATTCAAAGCATGGGTTCACATTTAAGTAGCGAAATAAAGTATGTCTACACATCTATCAATGGACAACGTGTACTTGTACCTTATATTCGATACCCTAATGGACAATGGGTGCCTATCCAGCAAGCCTATCATGAGCCATACAATGGAAACTATGTAGTACTCAATACACCGTACTATAGAATGTAATTAAAAAAGAGAGAGAGAAAATCATGCTTAAAGCTAATCTCGTTATACATAATAGCGCACCTCGTCACGGTTATCTGTTACAACATCCCGCGCCAGGTGGTATCCCTTATTATCATTAGCAGCCAGTTGTAAAATTAATCTATTTTTATCCTATGTCTATTTGTATTCTTATCTTATTTTTATATTTTATTCCTATGGACTTTATGTAATATAAGCTACCCAATACGTATTATTCTCCAGTTCATGACGCGTTATTTGATGAGAGCAAGTCTCTCTTTTTTTTTTCATATGCAACTGTGTGTTGTAGTTCCCCTCATCAGATTGTCACATATGCATGTGTAGCTTTACATAATTCGATCTCCGTCTAGTTGGTAGCCAAGAGTGACCAAAAGAGAAGAGGTTTTAATTGCTTTTCTATCTTTTTTCTTTTTCTTTCGATAAGTAAAAAAAGCAATGACTAAAACAGCCTTTGATCCTTCAGAAGTTACAGTTATCTTTGTTCTCGGTAACGATACGCTTTAGAACGCTTGAAACAAGCCAACTTACCCTTTTTTTTTTCACTGATAGGCGGACCTGGGGCTGGCAAAGGCACTCAGTGTGATCGTATCAAGAGAGATTACAATTTTGTTCATCTTTCAGGTAATTAATATAAATAGAGAGAAAAAAAGAAGAAGAAAAAAGAAAAAACTTTGAGCTAAATGTGATCTTTCACATTACATAAGCTGGTGACCTTTTGCGTGAGGAACAAAAGCGAAAGGGATCTAAATACGGTGAACTCATTCAAAACTATATACGTGATGGATTAATCGTGCCTATGGAAGTAACAATTGCTCTTTTGGAAAATGCAATGAGAGAGGCAATTGAAACTGAAAATAAAACGCGGTTCTTGATTGATGGGTTTCCTCGCAAGATGGATCAAGCAGAAAAGTTTGAAGAAACAGTAGTAGAATCCAAGTTTGTGTTATACTTTAGCTGTTCCGAGGAGACTCTCTTGCAACGTTTATTGAAACGAGGCGAAAGCTCGGGACGTATCGATGATAATATTGAATCAATCAAGAAAAGGTTCCAAACATTCAAAGATACAAGTTATCCTGTGATCGAGGCATTCGAAACGAGAAACAAAGTTCGTGAGGTAAGATTGGGATCTGTAATTAGCTGAAAGTGTTGCTAAGGGGAACATGTTAGATTAATGCCGAGAAATCGATCGATGAGGTTTATGACGATGTCAAGAAGGTGTTTGATGCCCTGTTATTACAATAATTGCTTCGTGTTTACGTATATTTAGCGTAAAAATAAAGTGGTTAGAGATACATTAAAATAAAGACTACTCAAATACACAAACGGGATAATTATCAAAATATTTCCAGCAAAAAGAGAGAATCATTTACATTTTATTTATTGAAGCTTCCGTATATTTGTTATTCCTTCGAATAGTCTTCCTATGTTTTTTTTTAATTCCTTGTTGTAGCACTCCTTCCGAGCGCCTCGCCTTGGTTTGCATTTTTCAAAATAAATGCATACAAATATGAGCTCTTCAATGGTATGTTCCTATTTATTCAGTATGCCTGAATATCTCGATGTAATCTAGTCAAATAAGTCAAAACTCAGCAAATGAACCACGGCTGATGATTACTGAAGTGACAGGTTAAATATTATGGGTACTTGTCGTTATATATATATTACATATTCACAAACATGCTTCTATATAATCTGTTAGTTGTAGAACGAAGAGTCCATATTTGATTTTGATGCAACTTCTGAGCTCTCTGTTGATAGTTCTCAGAGGCATCTACTTGGAAAAAGACTTGGTGATAAAGGTAATTTTACTATATCTTTTATTGAAAAAGCGTAGCCAACTAAGCTCATGATACAACCCACTAGCCTTAATAGACAACAATAGAATCAGACATGATACAATTTCTTTTTTACCTGGAAGCTTTGTTCAGTATGATTAAAGGACCTTGAGATCTTCTTCGTGACGGCTTATTAATGAATATTGCTCTAAAATTTTTTGGTTCCTAGCTTATAAAGCCACATTTCTTTTTCTCTTTCTTTCTTTTTTTCTTGCCTCTAGGATAAAGAAGGTAAATATACAGAACAATATTATGTAATGGGAAAAGCTGCTTTGTCAAAAGATGAAGCTTTTAATATGGAGATTTGCGATGAATGCTTATACACTTCTGATTTGCTAACTGAAGAAACAACAAAAAAGCAGCTTTTCTTTTTTTACATTATCTTTATTTCTTGGTTATTTACTCTTTATTCTTTAGGGCTGCTTTCTAATTCATTACGTATTTTTGATAAATAAAGTTGCTCATTGAACATAAAAAGCAAAGTCTCTGTGTGTTGTTTAAAAAAAAAAAGTTTATTTTTGTGCTGCCAAAGGTCAGGACAATTGACGTAATGGGCATTGGTTGATCTATTATATAAAGGATTTACGTCTTTTTTTTTTTTAATTAAATCATTTGCTATCTCAATGCATCGTACTAATAGTAATCCTAATCGTCCACAAAGACGTCGATCCTTCAAAGGATGGTTAAAACGGATGACTCTTCCAAACAATCAGCGAAGAATTGAACCACAAGTGAAAGGTTTGAAAGAATCAAAGAATTACAAGACAAAGTTTGACATGTATTCTTCTTTACAGAGGGTGTCTTTGGTGTCCCATTAAATGTCTCTATTGAATATGCCAAGACAACAGTTGGATATATCGATGAGGATGGTGTAAAACATTCTAAAGCAGGATCAATACCTATTGTTGTTGCAAAATGCGGATCCTTTTTGAAAAAGAATGGTAAAAAAAAAAAATATTTATCTATTTACATATACTCACATCAAACTCAGGATTGGAGACTGAAGGCATATTTCGTGTATCAGGAAATATGAAGCGAGTGAACGCATTAGAATTTCAATTTGATCAAGGTGCTAGTCATTATGGGTTAGACTTTAATTGGGATGGCTACACTGTGCATGATGCAGCAAACTTGTTAACACGTTACTTGAACAAATTGCCTGAACCAGTAATTCCTACCGAATACTATCTCGCCTTCCGTGATGTCATGAGTAAAGAAGCTAAAGAAAGTTTATTTATAGAAAAGATGTATTCACATACATACTTTGTTTTGTAGATAATAATGTGTATCATACTACAGAAGAAAGAATTGATGCTTTTCAAGCCTTAATTCAAGACTTGCCTTCGCCCCATCGACATCTCTTACTTTACTTATTGGATACCCTGAGTCTATTCGCCGCTAATGCTTCACAGACCAAGATGACCACTTCTAATCTAGCTGCTGTATTCTGTCCAGGTATCCTGAGGCACCCTGATTACAACACGCCCATACAATACAAGATATCTCAGTGCGTCATTGAATTTCTGATTGAATTCCAGTCCTTGTTCACTATTCAGCTATTAGATAAAAAGAAAAGGATGTCGACAGCATCTAGCGAAGAAGTTCCCTGGCTAGTACCATCTATGCATCAGCCCACACCTCCTTTTCCCTTGCGTGTGGTCAATGGTTCAGTCCATAGCAAATCTTCAGAAGAAAGTCCAATGGCCTTGGTAAGCTCTCCTACAGGGATCGATGGCAAGCAAGCGACGACAACGTCAAGAGAAATCAATCAGCCTCTTACACAAAAACTCAAAGATACTGTTGGCCCATGGATAGGTAAGATATATATACATATATAAAGCTAATATTACATAAAGCTTATCTTGTTTGTTTCCTGTAAAGCTAGAATGGCAGGTTTACTCGTTTGTGGACCGGCTGCGTTCCTTCTAGCAGGGGTTGCTAGTTATGAAGCATATCTTGCCTTGACACTTCACAAATTAACTGAGCCCCTTATTTTCTTTGCCGGGCTGGCCTCTTATTATACTTTACTTATCATCGGCTTGTTCGGAAGTATAAGTCTAGACGATCCAGCTTCTGAAGAAGCCATGCGTCAGGACCAAACCCTTATGTCCGAGTGGCGAGATCTGTTGACGCGATCTTGGAAGACAGAAAAGGAAGATGAATGTTGTTCAACCATGAGTCAGTCTAGTCGATTTAATGAGGAAGAAGAGCAGTCTAGTGAAGAAGAGGAGGATGAGATGGAAGAAAGTGACATGGGGTTTGATCCTGCCACGTTAGAAATGTACTTGTCTCAGTATGATCAAATTAAAAAAGATGCGGAACTAGCTAAAAAACTGCAATCTGAGGAGCAAAAAGCAAGAGATGTACATAATCCTTTTGTTAATGAGAAACAAGTATCCAATGACAAAGAAGTATGGAAAATCAAAACATTCTCCAAGGAAACTTGATCCAAAATATATTCTATTCTTAATAAAGTTATATGCTATATTTATATATATGTCTCCTGTGTTCAAGGGGAGCTATATAGAAAGAGGAGATGTACATCTGCTCTATTTACTATTTTAGAACGTCGATCACCGTTTCTTCTTTAAATGCTCCTTTAATATTAGCTCGGCTTCTACCTCCCTTTTTTTTCTTTTTCTCTTTTCTTTATACACTTTAATTCGAATTGTATCAGATAAAAAAAAAAGGAGAGAGGGGGTGATCTGAATGGCAAAAAACTAAGAAGAAGGGGGGAGATTGGCAACTTTTCTTTAAATAGGACAGACTAGACCTTGAAAGAAAGTCCAGATTTTCAGTTGTCATTCAAATAGAAAGTTGATCTCTCTATAATCTCTTAAAATGGTTTCTTTGAAAAAGAAAAGGACAGGCCATAAAATAAAGGAGTGCATGATGGCAAGTAGAAGTTATTTATTTTAGTCTAAAGTAAAAGAAATCTGCATCAAATACATTAGATGATACATCTCTTGTTAGTCTTTCTTTTGTTGGTGCCTGAAAAAAGAAAAAGCAGTAATACCAACCTTTTTCCTTCTTACTTATATAAAAAGGGTTAACTCAATTTATTTCTTCTTTTTTCTTTTCTCCTTTACTTTTATCAACATAAAGAAAATGAAATCCCAAACTTTTGCATTAGTCCTTGTCCTTTTAACCATCATGACCCGTGATGTCGCATTCGCGCAAAACCGTATGTAAAAGTGATATATAACATATAGACATTTAATGAACCATGGCTATTATCAATAGATGAATCTTCTTCTATCAGTGCAACTGCCGAACCTGCTGGCAGCACGTCTATTGATTTGGCTGTCTCCGGTGCCTCAGCTACGACTGATGCAGCCAGCGCCACACCGACCTCAGCTGCTTCTATTTCAGCTCCTGCTAGTGCCTCTGTTTCTTCACCAAGCAGTTTAGCCTCAGGTATCTCAGCCGCTTCATCTGGTATTAGCTCTGCATCATCCTTCATCAGCGCTGCTTCTTCTTTGGCTTCTAGTGGTAAGCAGTACATTATAAAATTATCTGCAGTGCATGTCTAATTATATTATGTACTGAAGCATCTGTTGCTCCATCTGTATCATCTGCAGCTGCACCTGTCTCATCTTTATCTTCCGCTGCACCTGCTTCTTCTTCTTCTCCTGCCAGACCCTATGCTGGCCCCAGCACTGTCAGTTCATCCACTCATATCCAAGCCCCCCTTGTTATGATTGGCCTTATCAGTTTCCTTTTTGCATTGATCTAAAACACACGCCATGTATTCTTTCAAACTATTTCTACTATAAATAATAAAGAAGTCCCATTTTTATTTATATTTATATCAAATTCAAAGCAGCCTTTTTTTTAATTTTGAAACCAAGGATCAACAAATAAAATGCATATAAAAAATGTCTACACATAAGCGCAGATCTTTACATTTAGCTCTATTGCACCTTTCGACAAGGCCTGATTTACTTTACACCCCTTTTTTCAAGAACAAGACAACGACGACTCCTATGTCTTTTTGCATCCCCCTTTTCTCCTTTTTTTTTTTTTTTCAAACAAGTATTTCTATTGACTTTATAACATATTTCTTCTTTTTCTTTTTCTTTTCATCTATTCATATACTTGTTAATCCACAATCATCTAATAAATGAAGTTTATTTATCTTGCTTCCTTCGCCTATGCTGCAGTTGTAGCCACTGCTCAATTGACTGCACCAACAAGAAATTATAATGTTACAAGTCCGGTTACAAATGGTCCTTATGTTGTCGGTCAAATCCTTCCTTGTACTTATCGTCTGTTTTCAGATGTTGATACTTCAGGTAATATTAATCATATCTTTCAAAAGGAGGAGATCATACTAATTTATCTTTTTGTAGCACTCAACCTTGAAATTGATTTAGAAGCTGCTCCTCAAGGAGTATCACCACAGGGAACAAACACAACGACGCTGCCTATTGCAGTTTCCGCTGATGTCTCAAAAACGGATGCATTCATTAAACGTGAGGGTAACTTGACCTACTATGAGCATTCGATCAATTTCAATATCCCTCAGACAGTCAAACCAGGCAACTACCATGTTGTCTTCTTTGACAAATCAACCAACACCAAATTGTCTATTCCTATCGAAATTCGCCCAGCAGCAAGTTCTACATCTGTTGGCACCAAAGCAACAAGTATCTCCATACCTGGGCGTCCTCAATCTTCTGGTTCTATCTTTGCTCAAGGCGCTGCTTCTTCCATTGTGGCCTCTAAAGTACTGATAGCTTTAATGGCTGTAGCAGGTGTTGCTTTCCTCTTGTAAAAACAAAATCTTAATGTCGTTCAACTTTTTTTCTTAATGAGTTATTTTAATCGTAATAAACCATAAAGTTTTATATTCTTATTTGTTTTTCATTGCCACCCCACAAAATTGACATATTCTCTTTTGGCTCGAGAATATAGGAGCAGTATATGGCTTCTTACTGCTTATTTTAGTGCACAAGTTTACATAATGGCCCTAGTATCTTGCCACACAGTGGGTTATCAAACGAACTGCACAAGAGCGGAATGTCGGTTGAAGGATGGATGCGTTTGCCGAATAGCACGGACAACAAGTTGAAGATGTATTCGCCATGGAAGAACGATTCTCCAGTACCATTCGCCGTTGGTAATGGAATACTTTGTGCCCCTAACCTCACTGTCGTTGCAGCACCTGAAATGGTCCGTTTTGCGATCACCTTAGTTGACTGAGTCGTCCATTCTCACGAGTTCAGCTCGGCCGACCACATATTGACATAACGTTTTTTCAAGGCTAGCAAACGAACAAGAAACGAGCTACCGAGCCGGCATCAGGGAACTCTTCGAGGACTATTATTACAAGCCAGGAGATCAGCACGTCAGGGGGCGTTACGGTTGTGGACACGGTCTCCAGAAACGTTACAAAGAAGATAATCATATTCTCTGTCGTCTTTTCGGCAACATTGCTATTTATTATTCTCTCGCTCCCTTTCTTTCTTTTTTTAGACTCTTTTTTTAATCTCTTCGAGAAATTGAAAAGATCAAACTTAAATACTTTGTGCAGATGAGAGAAGGAGTGATTCAGTTAAAAAGAAAGCTGGGTAAACATGTTGCAAGTAATGATTGTCACTGTCAATATACGCTAATAGTACAATATATTCATAATACAGAGCACAATAAATTCAATCAGCAAACAAAATTTGAATCATCTTATGTACATGAAACTTGTCAAGAAGAGGCTGATGCCGACTTCCAATTGATAGACAATATTGTATTTATGTTTTAATTAGAGTATAAATAAACTAACCGCTTCCAACTCGCAACGCTTGTTTTTGGGCATCGTCGTGCTGTCGCAAGGCTTAAGGGGATTCGTTCTTTGTGATAAGTAAGAGCAAATGTTGAATGAGATGTAGAAAGGTTATCGCATTTATGGATGTATAATTTTATTTAATGGTTGACAATGTAATTTTATAGTCTTTGGGTTTGAGTGTGTTGTAAAAGGTTAAAAAATAGAAGGTTGTGCGCTCGTAGTCTTTGTAACACTTGATGTTCGTAGCAAAAGTATTTAAAGTTATAATAAAGGTTCGATGTGTGACCACCAGATCGTGTAAAGTAGTTAAGGCTGAGTTGCACAAAGTAAAAAGGTTCCTGAATCCACTTGATTGGATTATTTAAATATAAAAGATAAAAATAAAAAAGGCTGTGATTCAAATCGTAAGTGATTTATTGAATGATTTGAGTTTTTAGCAAAAGCATTGCTCTTTTATACTTGTTAAAAAGTGACTAAAGCTTTGGTAATTAAAGTTTATATAAATAAAGTTAGGATTTTAATGTCTTAACCTTATTCATATTGCTTTTGAACTGTGTTACAACATAGTTAAAAGAAAGTGACAAAAGTATAGTTGGACATAATACAGATATTAATTCAGCAAAAGCTCTGAATAAACAACATTGCTGGTTATATCTGTACTTTCTGGCAAAAGGGCTGATACGCCAGAGAGAAAAATCACCCTTGACAATGTGACAAATAATTGACCATGCATAAATGGTGGTCTTCTTAGGCCGATACCTACACATTTCAATGATTGGCCTTGGGACTTGTTAATTATCATAGGAAAGCATAGTTTTACAGGAAATTGTTCCCTAGTGAGCATAAATGGCATATCACCTTCTTGAGATGGAAGAGTGGATCTTGGAATGGTTTCAATCGGGGCACCGGGACTGTCCGCTAAGCGGACACGGAGCAGATATTGACCATACATTCTATTGAAGTCGGTCAAAGCCAGACTGGGATCAAGATGGTTTCTCAAAATGACGAACGGTGGCCATAAAATCGTGATATAATTGGGCCATGAAGCGTGAGCCACCATGGAAGCTACTTGGTAGAATAATATTCAAGTTTATTTTGATCGCAAATAACCCACACGTCCACCAGGAACTGCTGAAAAAGCCTTTTACCATAAAAGATGGCAGGGTCTGCTCTGGCCTGGTAAAGATTTCGTTTTCTTCATCCCGTTGGGTTTGACGTCTACGTCGTGAAGCCGCAAATTGTTCTCTGCATGACTGGTAAGTGCCATATGCTGAGTCAATTGGTAAAAGTGCCTGACAAGATGAGCAGTTGTTAGTAAATGCGGTAGCGGTATTGTTGTTCATGTACTAATGCAAAATTACGCGTTAGTCAACAGATTATAGTACAATACTTTTAAGAAAATGTTTATTTTTGCCTGCATATGAAGGTTCTTATAATTGAAGATGCAATATGAATAAGTAACAAAAAAAAAAAGAGCAAGGCACTACAGTAGCAATAAAACTCTCTTTTTTCTATCAAAGGTAACTCGAGGTTTGTTAAGAACTATAAAATACTCACTGCAATGTTTTTGTTGGTTTTTGTGTTTCTAGAGCTTAGTGGTTTATGTTACTATATGTATGGTTATGTGAGTAGTTGGCAGCTTTCGCAGCAAAAAGGCTTAAAGAACAGCATGTGGCGGAGAGACACCTGAAATAAACAGCACTTTTTTAATAGATAGTTGAACACGGTACTGAGTATCACAAAGTATTGCCAAAAGAGCGAAAAGGTTGACTATCAAAGATCATGGACCAATGGTGTCGCCAAACAAAAGCATGGTCCTGGTCTAAGATAAAGGGCACAGGAAGGATCACACTGTTTTTTGAAAAGCGCTCGAGATAGAGCTGGGACAGAAAAAGTGAATCAAGTGGTGTACCCTAAACTGTTTTCCAGATTAATTGCTTGTTAGGACAGTTGAGAATGAAACGAGGTATGTCTTCCACCGTAGAAAAACAGAAAATACATTTATCAGAGTCGAAAATATTGCATAAATTAACCATGTCCAATGAGAATTGAGTATGACATATAACGTATTTTGTTGTCGTTTTTTTTATACTTTTCTTTCTTCATATAATGACAGTATGAAGCATTTACAAGATAAGCACGAAAAATATGCTGTTTGCTGTGCAAATTAAATTACTTGCGCCACACATGGTGCGAATTTTATGTAGATATGCAAAACCTGAATTTTTGCGTGTGTGAAGTGCTCACCTTAAATTACAAGCCACGCAATTTTATCATTATTCACATTTTCTCTTTCTCTCTTTCTCTTTACACAAATGACTCGCTATACTAAACTGGGAAGGAAGACTTTTGTAAAGTCTGATGATAGCTTTAACGTGACACCTTTATTGCCTCGTAAGCAAGATAGCAACACAACTAAAGGATCTGATCAAAAAAATAATCGAAGGAACGATCGATCAAGAAACAAGCGCAAAAGAGACGATAATGACGGCAATAATAATAACAATAAAAAGAAAAAGGAAGTATGTTTTGCTTGTAGACAACCTGGACACTCTGTCAAAAACTGTCCAAAGAGTAAAGAGCATGTCAAGATCTGTTACAACTGTGGATCAACAGAACATGGTTTAAAAGAATGTAAAAAACCAAGAAGAGGAAGTAAGTTGACAGTCAATATATAAAAAAAGCATTTCCTTATGATCGAGTATTGTAGATAAATTGCCTTACGCCAAGTGCTTTGTTTGCAATGAAGAAGGACATTTGTCAGGTCAATGTCCAAAGAACGAAAAAGGATTATACCCTAATGGAGGATGCTGCTCCATTTGCCAACAAGTGGATCACTTCGCAAAGGACTGTCCAGTGACAAAAGAACAGGCAGGTACAACGGCCGTAGGCTTGATCAGTTTAGATCAAGGAGCTGATGATGACGACTATCATATATTTGTTGAAGAAAAAGAAAAAGCAAAACAGGAAGTAAAGAAAGAAAAGAAGCAAGAAATAAAACAACCAGTCACCAAAAAGAAGATTGTCAAGTTTTAAGAGTGTGTGTCCCAGAATGATTGTAACAAAATGATTTCAATAAACATCTGCGCCGACATATATATTTTTCCCTTTGTCTGAATTTAAAGTGAAAACAAAACAGCATAAAATTATTTCGAGTCCCCTTTTCTCTTTTCATATATTTTTTATAATATAAAATGACGCCTACAGCAGAAAACTTGAACACACAGTGGGATATTCTTCAAGGAGATTTTAGTACAGACAACGCTGCGCTTATTGACCCTTTGAATGAATTCACAAGCAATGAGCCAGCTGTCTTAACACCACAAGTAACATATAAACAAGTTGCATAACGAGCCACTAATACATATAGCTTATAGTATTACGGAGATAGTATAGAAGATGAACAGATAGAGTCAGTAAATGATGGAAACTTGTATTATGATAAACCAGTTGTATCAAATCAAAAAGTTCGAGTGACCGAGCCAAGAAAAGAAACAGAGCAACAGAGTACTTTTATTTCTTATTTAGTTGTTTCTGACGTAAATATTATCATACAATACTTTTTTTTTTTTTATTTCCATGATTCATCTTTTATATATAGAAAGCAAGCGTTCGAAGGAGGTTTCAGGATTTTGTATGGCTACATAATGTACTATATATTCATTATCCTGCTTGCTTTGTTCCACCATTACCGGATAAACATCGATTAGGTAAATATCAGTTTATCATTACGACCAGATTCTGAACTTTATATAAAAGAATATGTTAAAGGAGATCGATTCAGCAATGACTTTATTGAGAAAAGGAGAATTAGCTTGGAACGATTTATACAAAGAATTGCAAGGCATCCGATCCTGGGAAAGGCTGAATTTTTCATCATGTTTTTGGAATCCAGCGAGTTTGTAAGTATATATATAAAAGCCGTGATGAACTCTCTTGCTTATTTAAACACATAGAATGATGCTTCTGCAAGAGCCCTCCGTGAGGGTCAGGAAACAGTAATGGATACCATTGGCGATACCCTTTTAAATGCATTTGCCAAGATACGTAAACCAGATCCAAGATTTGTCGAAATGAAAGAGCGTAGTGATCGAATGGGAGAGAACCTTGATCTGTTGCAAAAAACACTGCTTAGATCAAACAAACGCACAGAAGACCTTTGCAATGATTATGAAGAGCTAACGACTAGCGTGCAAGGACTTGCAGAAATGGAAACAGATTATGAGCAGCCACTATCAGACTTTGCCTCTGTACTTGAAAAATATACAAGGTCTATGCGAGAAATGACGATAGAAGACAGCAAATGGCAGATTGAAGTCTATGATTACATGTCATACTACCATGCAATAAAAGGAGTACTCAAATTAAGAGATCAAAAGCAACTGGATTTTGAAGAGCTCTCAGACTATTTTCAAACTACTCTAGAGGAAAAAGAAAGAGTTGTACGAGATAAAAAGGATAGCAGTGTTACGAACTTTATCACAGACAAGATCAACGAAGTCAGAGGCACGGATGCAAGTAAAATGAAGCGTGAAAGGATATTGCGGCTGGATGAAAGAATGAGAGAGGTTAGTTTCTTTATATATATATATATATATATATATATAGGATCATCACTGACGAAAACATGTTAGTTACAAGAGGCGATAGAAGAAACACATAAAGTATCAACAGCATTTTCAGATCAAGTTAAGAAAGAAGACATGTTTTTCACTCGTAATAAATCGGTAGAGCTATTTGAAGTTCTCAAGTCATATACGGATGGAAAAGTAAAGCACTATAGTGAGGTAAACAAATACATGATACTCTTGGCTTTTTGCTAACATTTTTATTATCAAAAGAGTGTAAACCTTTGGAGAGAATTTGTGCATGCGCTTGAGAATACAAGTAACTCACCATAGAAATAAAAATATGTATAAAAAAAAGGAAATAAATACGCCCTTATTATATTTGTTGGTTTAATTGAGATAATTTAACTGCAATCTGTCCTCCTATCTTTGCATTGTTTTTTACAAGTGCAATATCTATTATCAATTATTAGTTCATGTCTTTTCTCTCTCTTTTATGAATGACTCACTAGCTGAAAGAGATTCACCCTTAGTAAGCTCGGTTATTCTTTTCAGTAAAAATGGTGTCTCTTCTTTGCCTTTGATATTTTCAGCTCTAGTAATAACATGTTTAATAAATTGCCATAACTCCCTGAGTATCATCTTCACCTTGCTTCAGCTATAGCTGTATCTATAGCCTCTTGAATAGATTTGGTATCAGCTGCTGACTCTTTGGGTATAGGAACAGCAAACACAACACCACTGTTCATCTGAAGTTCATGATTGGCCACTACAATAAATAGTCATAAGATACTAGCCTTGTCAGCATATCAGCCTTACAAATTATCTTTGCTGCATCTTGAGCCGTTTCAACATGATATGGACTCTATATGATGAAAATATCTTAGAAATAAGCACCCCCTAATTATGTCTGTTCCTACATCAAATCCACTGTTTGCCGTATAAAAGGCAGGAAACTGTCTCGTTGTACCAATCGTCGCAACAGTTACTCCTTGTGTTTCCAATACTTCCAATGTTTTTGGTATATCCAAAATACTCTTTACACCTGCACAAACAACAGCTACGGGTGTTCTTCCTAGCTCTGTTAAATCGGCACTAATATCAAAGGCTATAAATAAGAAAATTAACAAACGATGTAGAACTCATCCAAAAAATCGTTACATTCTGAAGCGCCTCTGTGAACACCACCTATACCGCCTGTGACGAAGACAGAAATACCTGCAGCTCTGGCCAATATCATTGTGCTAGCCACTGTTGTAGCTCCTGACTTTCCCTGAACAGAGAATCCTAACATGTCAACTTTTCTTTTTCTTTCTATATCAAATTGTCTACCTGAGCAAGGACCACGGGTAAATCGCGTCGTGAAGCTTTGATAGCTGCAGGCCCATTTTTACCAAAATAATCAAGTTGATCGTCATTCAAACCTTTTATATGCTGGGTTATTTCGATATCTCCCCTAAAAAATAATACGTTTTTTACCAATATGCACTTTTCCATTCAGAATGGCAATGGTGGCTGGAATAGCTCCTTGTTCTCGAACGATGGCTTCAACTGAACGTGCTGTTTCAACATTTTGTGGATATGGCATACCTTTCAATATGAAGCAAGGTCTTTTGTTAACAAGTGAAAAAAAAGCCCTAAAGCAAAATACTAACCATGACTAATGATGGTTGATTCTAATGCTACCACTGGTCCATTTCTCTTTAAAGCATCCTTAATCTCGGGCGTAATTGTAAACTTTTCAGCAATAGAAAGCGCGCTGAATCTGCGAATGCCGAGTCTCGTAAATAAAGCGTATTGTTTAGTCCAAAGCATCAAGTAAAAATAAATATTTGAATTCAGGGAAAGAAAAGGAAGAGATATTTTTATTCATTATCTTTAAAGAAGCCGCTGACTATATCCATAAAGGAATTATCATCTGGATTACTCACACCAGCTTGTTCATCCGTCAGCCAGGGATCTCCATACTCATTTGTGTTGGGTGGAGGCGATGGAGCGGAAGGTGGCTCATTCATGCCTACTTGATCATCCTGGACTACAGGGTCCTCTCGTGTCTCACCTCCATATCCAAACATTGGGAAAGGTAGAAATCCACCGCCACTAAGATGTCCAAAGGTAAAGATGATAATAATATATACACATGTAGATGTCTTACCCATGAGTTGAATGCCTTGAGAAATAATCAAAATCAATGGAAACAGCACAAGCCAGTGTAACTGCTCTTTCGTCTAAAGTCATGCCTCTAACACTCCCCTCAGCTGCATCCATTCTAAGGACATATTCTCCGGTATCCGTGAATAACTACATGTAAGATCAGTATGACTGTAATTGTATAGCATTATCTATTTGTACCTCTCTAGCAAACCCAACAAAGTTACGATTCACGTTACCAAGGACACCACCATTCTCATCTTGAAGATGGAAATCCCAACCTAAAAAGGGTGTATCGATTGTGGCAAACTGCTTTTGCCTGATTAATGACATCAATCAAGTAGCTCCCCATATGGTTGAATCAATTCAACTTACCCAACAAACAAATCATACTTCCTTCTAAGCAAGTGCCATCTTTGCTGTACTTCGCCTACAAGCTCATCTTCTGCAGTGTAAATAAAGATACGACTGTTGACCAAAGAATAAGGTCTAACGATCTTAAACATCACTTCCCCCTCGGGGTTAAGAACAGTTGCATTCATCTTTCGATGCGTTCTGAGGAACTGACGACTGATTGATTTTCCAAATCCTTCCTCTTCTAGAATATATGCTAAAAGATTTCCATGAGGATCCATGACTTTATATCGATTTGCTTGCTCATATCCTAAAAAGACATTCATCATCTCAATCTGTCGACAGACAACAACGGCTGATTGAGTCAAAAGAGCTGCACCACGGGAATCTGGTTTGATAATTTGATGCTTGTCATCTATAGGTACCTCCACAATTGTATCTTGGACATTGTTGGGAGCTGCTTTATCATATAACAGACTGCCTTCATCCGTAACTGCCTTTGGTGTCATTTCTTCAGTGGTAATTCGTGTTGGCTTGGGTCGAAGTGTCTCGACGTGATTGAGTACTCGACTTCGTGGTCCTAACCGAACAATATAAGTCTCTTTTGTGTAGGAACAATAGGTTCAATACCTAGCTGACGTGGGCGACGTAAAGAAGAATAGTTGTATCTTACTATTCTGACAGCATTGCGTTGCCTTAAAAGAGGAGCGAGCAATCTACTTTTAAACATGTCAAAAGAAAAGAAGAAAGAAAGAAAGAAAGAAAAAAAAAGTTATGCGTAGTGAAATAATTTATTGTTGTCTGTGCTAATATTTTTTTTACCTTTTTTTTTTAATCATGTCAGAAACAGTTGAGCAACCCAATCAAGAAGTAGGACCCAAGCCCTACAAGGGTCAATTTGCCATGGATCCTGACAACCTGGATGCAGAGTTATCCAAGATTCCTTTGTTTATGACACAGTTGCCTGAAGAAGAAAACGATACTTTGAGCGCTCTTCAATCACTGGTTTTCGACGGCACTCCAGAAGGTTCGTAGTGAAAGCTCTTTTTACTGCTTTTATCTCATAATCAACTTAGAGATTGCTCAAAACTTCAAGGAACAAGGCAACGATTGTTTCCGAGCGGGCAAACTCAAGTACAAAGACGCCATTACTTTTTACACTAAAGCTATCGAAACAGAGTGTAAAGATCAAAAGATCATTGAAGCCTGTTTGGCCAATAGAGCACAATGCAATCTTGAACTTCAGAATTATGGTCGTGTACTGAATGATTGCTCAAAGTGTTTAGCCATTAACCCTAAAAATGTAAAGGCTCTGTATCGTTCTGCAAAGGCCTTATTGGCACTTGATAAATTGGTGGAGGCAATTGATTGCTGTGACCATGCGTTGGCTATTGAACCAGATAATAAGGCTGTGAAAGAAGTGAAGCAAAAGGCAGTAGATCGAAAGGCATTGATGGATAGAAGATTGAAAGAAAAGGAAGAAAAAGAGAAGAGAGAGCGAGAGAAGAAAGAAGAATTGGAGAGAGCAATGAAGGAAAGAAAGATCAAGATTGAAGTAGAAGATAAAGATGTGCGTGAAAGGGCAAATATTGAGTATGATCACGAGACAGATACCATCAGCTGGCCAGTCTTCTTTCTTTATCCTGAATATAAGGAAAGTGATTATATACAAAGCTTTAATGAAACCAATACATTCCAAGATCATTTGGAGGTTATCTTTGAACACCCTGCACCTTGGGATGCCAAACACGAATACACAGCTGACTCTGTTGAGGTCTATTTTGAAGATACAAGGGGGCTTAATCCTAAATTGATAAAGATTGGTAAGAAGTTACCCTTGGGCAAGATTTTATCACTTGATCAATACATCATCAAAAACGGCGTGCCTTCATTTATTATTATTCCTAAAAATTCAGCTTTCAAACAAGAGTTTATAGACAAGTACAAGAAATAAACAATAAATTATAATAATATTTTACAACAAGATCATGTCATCACTATTATTATTGTTATTATCTTCGTTACAAGAGTCTTCATCAAAGGGGAATTCATAGTCTTGTCCAACAGATAAAGGAATTTCAAGAAGAGGTGGACTATTTTACAAGTTAGACACACACTTAAAAGGAAAGGTAACACTTACTTTAATGAATCAGCCTTGTTATGAATATCAGGCTATATATTTATTTAGATACATATATATATATATATATATATATATTAGTTTACCTTGCTTAGCTGCATTGTTTGTAGCCTTAATGATTCATCCAATGTAAGCATTCTGGCTTTGACCTTAGGAAAATTAATATTCTTGTCTGTCATTTAAAATTTTCCCTTACTTGTTCTGAGCCTAATAGATGAGCCCTTTTGATCTTTAATAGCCTTCTGGACAACTGACTGTGATACAAAGCTTGTTGGTTTGCTAAATCTACAGACCTTTTCCTTGATTCTTGTCTTGGTGTCATTAAAGACATGGCTTCTAACTTTCTTGTTAATGGACAGTGGCCCAAGTTTGTGTTATCTGCAGTGATCATATCGTGCGCAGTTATTGTTCTTTCGTCGATAAGTAATGCTTCAATCAATTGATTTGTCTCTCTTAGTTTGGCACCGTTGTCTGATAACTTTTGTACGAAGGCACTAACAACAAATGATGAGAAGAGAGAGTATAAAATCTAAATAGAAAACTTTACTGGTTATTAAGCAACTGTGAGTTCTTTTCATGTAGCTGAGATAGCTCACGTCTATTACATCTCCTCAACTTCTTGATATGATGAGCATCTTTTGGACTAAACCTGTATAATACGGAAGAATTCATTTTTCAATATTTCAATAGGAAAAATCCCTTGGGCTCATGCAAATCTTCAAAGAAACTAAATGAAGCGGAGAGTTAATCTACAACATCACATGGCTCTTTTGGCTATGCATCTTGCACTTTTAGTTTTTAAATGCAGACACAAAATTATCAGACAACCTTATCAACATCGACCTGGGACAGGCTTGATCAACAGGGAGGAAATATACTTAAGGGTATCTTCAGAGGCTAGGAGTACACGCTTCTCTGTTGAGTAATATTAATGCATGGGAAAAAAGCTTTTTTTTTTAGGATCATTCATGCCGGCAACTATTTTCATTGCTCCCTTTTTTCTCTCCTTTATTCACTGTACTGAGTAACCTACAATACTTTATGCAGTTGTATTCACTCTAGAGAATCATGCCACCACTGTGCCTGAAGTAAGACTGTGACTTGATTATGGGGTAAGGCGGCGTAAGTTACTCTTTATGGTAATGAATTGTGGCTTATACACAGTCATCTTTACCTCTCTTTCTATCACTCTCTCTCTTGCCTTTTTATTTTTGAATACAAAATAATATGGATCTCTTTCATCTATTAGGAAGTGGTGCTAAGTTTGACAAAAACCGCTTCAAGCACGACATCACTTTATTCGAAGGTGAAAAAGAAGCCAATCAGATACAATCCAAAAAGCGCAACGCAGCAGCTGTCGATTCCAATGTACGTTCTCAGCTCCTGGACGAGATCGATTTCTTCAAAACAACGCATACTGTCGTCGATCAGCCAAGAAAAAAGAAAAAGGAAAATGATAAAGACAGTGACTCTGAGAGTGATGAGGACATAAAGCCAAAGAAAGGTAAAAGATTGACATATTTTGAATCTGTCAACATGTTGACACTCTAATGTATAGACAAAAAGTCAACCATTTTTAAAAATGTCGAAGAGGTAATAAAGTGAACTAGTTATAAAACAGAGTAACTAATCTTATTGAATAGGCCAATTTATTTAGAAAACAACATAAAATTAAAGTCTATGGTACTGATGTGCCAAACCCTTTCAGAACATTTGAAGATCTTGCTTCACCTGCATATAATTTGGAACCCAAGCTGTATAATAATTTGATGTCTATGGCATATACAACACCCACGCCTGTACAGATGCAATCTATTCCCATCATGCTCAACGGTCGTGATATAATGTCCTGTGCTCCTACAGGTTCGGGTAAAACAATGGCTTACTTGCTTCCTATTATACAAGACTTGAAGAAACCAGAAAAGAAAGTGAGCTATCGTGCCTTGATTATCGCACCCACCCGAGAATTGGCACAGCAGATCGCAAGAGAGGCGAATCATTTGGCTCAAGGCACAAAACTCCGAGTGAACGTTTTAGCCAAAGCTACAGCAGCTGATAAAGCACAAACACCTGAATCAAGACAAAAGTTTGGTAAGTTTTTATTAATGTGATGATTATGAAACTAATGATGATAAAGACATTTTGGTAACTACTCCTCTTCGACTGGTGTATGCGATTAAAGAAAACGAAGTAGACCTGAGTGCAGTTCGGCATTTAGTACTTGATGAAGCAGACAAACTTTTAGAAAAGGGCTTTTTGGGTCAGACAGACGAAATTTTTGCTGCATGCACATCAACAACCATTCAGAAATCACTGTTTAGTGCTACATTTTCATCACACATCGAAGAACTCGCTAAGAGTGTGATGAAGGATCCGATTCGCATTGTCATTGGTGCCAAGTAAGCTACAAAAAAAGTAATTTACTACAATCATACTAACTACAGGACAGAAACGCCGCTACAGATACCATTAAACAAGAATTGCTATTTACAGGAACTGAGGCAGGAAAACGCATTGCACTCCGTCAACTGATCCAAAGAGGACTTAAACCACCTGTGCTGATCTTTGTCCAATCGATTGATCGAGCCAAGGAGCTATTTCATGAACTTGTATTTGATGGCATTAATGTAGAAGTGATACATTCAGATCGAACCAAGGCGCAAAGAGACAATATTATCAACCAGTTTAGAATAGGCAAGATTTGGGTTTTAATTGCGACAGATTTGATGGCTCGAGGTCTTGATTTCAAAGGCGTCAATTTGGTTATCAATTATGATTTCCCACAATCAGTGGCAAGTTACATTCATCGCATTGGTCGTACAGGTCGTGCTGGACGAGCTGGTGAGGCAGTTACCTATTACACACAAGAAGATTTCCCATATCTGAAAAAGGTGGTTAATGTGATGAAAGAGTCTGGCTGTGACGTTCCAGATTGGATGTTGAAATCTGCCAAACAAGCTGCCAAACAAGCTGTCAAAAACAACAGCAAAAAGATTGTTAAAAAGGACATGAAGAAAGTAGACACAAAGAACACAAAGAAAGACAGTAAAAAAGTTACCAAAAAAGACATTAAAAAAGATCAAGAATAAAAAAATAATATCTATTGTTACAAAGCAATCGATTTACACTTTTTTTTCCTCTTTAAGTCCATGTCGTTTTACACAGCATGTTACAGTCGGAGATCTTATGATCGGGGGGGAGCTTTTAAGATCAACATTTTTCTTTTTGGAGAAAGCTGTCAATGTCTAGAACGCACAGGGTTAGATCACACAACACGTCAGGTTTTTATTAAAGAGAGAGAAAAAGGGGATAGATGTGTATGTGCTTTTAGCTTACACTTTATTCAAATATGGCAATCATGAAAAATAAAAAATAAAAAATATTAAAAAGGAGGGGAATTTAGTTTAATAAAAGCTTTATGAAATCTGTGATATAAGCCTTTGTAGTATAAAAAAAACAATAGAAAAATATAGATTTAATCAATGTGTTTATTTCCAAATTTGTATAAAAACGATGATACAAGGGAAATAATAGAAGATATATGAAAGCAACAATGAGATAAGCAATGGTTAAAGCGATGAATAATAATAATATAAAAAAAGATGCTAAAACGGGGGAATCATAAGAGTATGCATACTACAAAAAAAAAAAAAGAGAGCATAAGGTTGCAGAAATAAAGCATAAAATGAAATGTTTCCCATATAAAAAAAAGGGAGATGGGGGGAAATCAAATGAGGAGAAGAAAAGGTGAATGAGTGTGCAGGGGGAATAAAATGGATGCATAAATAAGGAGAGTAAAGGATAAAAATAGGCGTAAATTCTGTTTCTACATAACATAAAGGGTATAAGATAAAAAGGCATACAAATAAAAAAAAAAAGAGAAATTAGTATAAAGACACACCACTATCTCTTCTCAAGAACCAGTCATCTTTGGAAGGAATGATGCTGGATAAGCTGGGTAATACAACATGTTGATCATATATATCTGGTAAAGACCAATTAGGCTGCATGTTGGATGGGAAATGTTGGAATGGAGCTGCATAAGGCCAAGAAGTAGTAATAGGAGAAGAAGGATTTGAGGTATCATCCTGAGTACTATAAGGACTTTCATAGCCAGACAATGCAGGTGTAGGAGGTGACCAGTGTAATGGTGTGGTTGATTGCTGAGGAGAGTAAGTGCAGCCTGTGCAAGCACAAGGTTGCTGCATGGATTGTTGCTGCATCTGCATCTGCTGCTGTTCAAGCATCAGCTTTCGACGCTCTTCTATGAATGGCTGCCACTGTACAGAAGGCTTTCTACCAGTCAAAACGTGATCTATTTTCATGTGCTTCGTCAAGACCGTCTTGCGAACAAAGCTTTTGGAACAACCGTCAAAGGGACACTTGTAGGGTCTTTTACCAGTATGCGTGCGTCTGTGTCTTGCAAGGGAGCTACTGTCACTAAAGCTCTTGCTACAATGGGGATGTTCGCATACATGTGGCCTCTCGCCAGAGTGTGTTCTCATGTGTACAGTCAAAGCTGAACGCTATTATAATATATTTAGCTGCTTTGAAATTTTTGACATTTTTCTTTTGTTTTGTTTTTTTTTTTACCTGAATGAAACTTTTGCCACAGCCTTCTTCTCGACATTTGAAAGGTCTAAAATAAAATATATATAAGCCATTATTCTTTACACATACACACGCACACACACCTTTCATTGGTATGAATACGAGAGTGTCTAACGAGATCAGATCGTCTACCAAAGGTCTTGTTGCAATCTTTGAATGTGCATTCAAAAGGTCTTTCGAAATTAGGAAAGGTTTCTTGATGAACAAGTTCGAGTATTTCCATAGTGTGTATATTGGTGTGTGTTTATAACTGTAGTAATGTAGTATTAATTTTATAGTCTTCTCGCTTGGAGGCTAAAAAACAAAAAAAAAAAATATAAAGGTCGTATATAGAAACAATAATCCGTAAAAGGTCTTTTTTAAGGGTTTTTTTTTCAATTGTCAAGACAACGAAAAGTATATAAAAAGAGAAACAGATAAGAGAATGTGTGTAAGAGAGAAAGAGAAAGAGAAGAAGAAGAAAGGTAAAATGATGCATATTTATAGATTTGAAAAATTAAGGGTTTACCCTTTTGTTTTCTATAAGTTGTCCCTTCACTACACCCCTAGCATCGCACAGCATAAAGCTTAAGATAAATAGTAACGCAGAAGGAGCAAACTAAAAGGGGGAAGAAGATTAAAGTTGATGGAGATCGACAGTTTATTCGGAAATGAAAGCATGACACGATTATTATCCTCAGCTTGCCATCGATCGTTCCCTGCTTCACATGCTCATGGCGTGGTTACCTCATCTCCGCAAGGAACTGTCTGTTCGCAAGGTTCATTTGTAGATCACAATATGAACAGTTATTTTTATCTTGATCGGAGCCATTCCGACCTTTGTTTTGCTTACCGTGCCCACTGATGAAATAGGCAGTTGACAAGCTGTTTGACTTGTATCACTTGGCATTTACCATTTTTGCTCATGCTTTTGTTTTTTTTTCTAGAGCTCTCTTCTCCCCCCATAGCAAACTCCCTTGTCTATCAAGGCAATCGGAAGCTTTTCTCCCGATTTTGTGTTTATATTTGAACTGCCCGAACTTTCCTATACTTACCAAAAGAGGGGCATATAATTAAAGTGATCTTCTTTACTTTTCACAAAGAGGAGTCTCTTCACACACACACACACACACACACACAATGAATATATACTCTTTCTTATTTCAATCTGCTCATGTCCTCCCCCCTTCTTCTTCATTACATTCTTGAATTGATCTTGTTACATGCTTGTGCATACAACTCGCGTCATTTATCGCCATGGCAACTTTCTCCCTCTTCATCGACTACCTTTCAATTTTTTTTATTTTTTTTGCCCATTTAGCCCACAGACATTTCCTTAGGGCAAATCCAAATTCTCTGCCAATCTATAAATGGGAAATTAATGATCCTCATGTGTATCACAATCCCACATTAAATACTTTATAATAAGCGAGCCAATCATCTGGTGCAATTTAGGAAAATAAACAGGTGCAGTAACACGTGGATATAGCCTCTTGTGCGACTCTACCCCCTTTAAGCCCTTTCTCTGCTTCTTTCTCTTACTGCTCTCTCTCTTTTCTTTTTATTCATAAACATGTCCACGCTCGTTTCGCCTTCCACAGAACAGTCACCTACACCATCTCCTCAGGTACCCAAAAGACACAACTTTTAACCGTCACTCCTCCTTAAATGACATTCATATAGACCATCTTGAATAGTTATGTTGGCTTTGATACCATCACTCAACAAATCGAAAAGAAACTTTTGAAAAGAGGCTTTCAGTTCAATGTGATGGTAGTTGGTAAATAGCAAGGACGAGCGAGTTTCTTCCTTTGACTAACTTGTATATAGGTCAATCTGGATTGGGTAAATCAACATTGGTCAATACCATCTTTGCCTCTCATTTGATTGACAGTAAGGGTAGACTTGATGCTGCCGAAGCACCACGTCAAACAACTGAAATTGAATCAGTCGCTCACAGTAAATAGACAGATTTATGATGATAATGTATCTGTAATAACTTCTATAATTTTGTATAGCAATCGAGGAAAATGGTGTGAGATTAAGATTGAATATAGTAGACACGCCTGGTTATGGTGATCAAGTGAACAATGAAAATTGGTATGTTTATAAATACTACAAGCTTGGACCGTACACGATTTTTTAATATTTATAATCATAGTTGGGAACCTATCATCAAATACATCAAGGATCAACACTCGGCTTATTTACGTAAAGAATTGACAGCAAGAAGAGAACGCTATATTGTTGATACCCGCGTTCATTGTTGTTTATTCTTCATTACGCCCTCTGGTCATTCGTAAGTAGAGTCAGTATTTGTTTATTCTGTTTACCAACCTTTTTACTAGTCTTAAACCCATCGATATTGTTGTTCTCAAAAAATTGACCGAAGTTGTCAATGTAGTTCCTGTGATTGCTAAATCAGATTCACTCACCATGGAAGAACGTGATGCATTCAAGAAGAGAATCAAGGCTGAACTTGCCTTCCATAATATTCGATTATACCCTTATGAAAATGAGGAGGATGATGAACAGGAACGATCATTGAACGAGAGTATTTATGAACTCATTCCTTTTGCTGTAGTCGGATCCGAGCGAAATGTTGTCATTGATGGAAAAGCAGTACGCGGCAGAAAAACAAGATGGGGTGCTATCAATGGTATAAACAAATACTTATGCATTTCATATAATCATTAATGCAATCTTTTATTAGTCGAAGATGCCCAACATTGTGAATTCATTCATTTGCGCAATTTCTTGACGAGAACTCACTTGCAAGATTTAATTGAAACAACTGCCTTGATTCATTACGAATCATTCCGTGCTAAGCAGTTGATGGCCATTAAGGAATCAACTCAAGTACAACAAAAAACAAGCGAATAAAAAAAGAGAGAAAGAGGGAATTTGTATATGCAGGAAAAGAGAACAAATCGAAAGCAGTGATTATTATGATTTTTATCCATTTAAAATCTTGATTTTTCGACTTGTTGTTGTTACTTTATCTGAACGATTCTCTTTATCTTTGTATTTTTCCTTAAATGATCCAAAACAAGTAATGTCACTGCAATGTTGATTGCAGTTGCGATAAACAACTGCATCATATGATGCAGTGTCAAAAAGGATCTAAATATTTACACAAATCTACCGAGCAACAACAGTTATGTGCACCAATAATTGACTTGCTGAATTGTTTGAATCAGAACAAGTTGAAATAAGGCTAATAAGCACTGAAAAAGAGGGGCACAATCACTATCATCCTTACTTTCTATGCTTGCACTCATAATCAAATATTCTAAATTAGTACATGTGCAAATGACAGCTGTTCTTGCAAAATAAGGCATTTTGGCAGAATAAGCCAGATCACACGATTATCCTGAATGACAGGTTTCCATAGACTGTCCTTTTTTGCTCCTTGTATCAAGGTGCAAGTATATATTGCAAGTTTGGTAAAGATCAAATGTGAGGATGTCAAGAGAAAAATCAAAAAAAAAAAAAAAAACCTTGTACGTTTCTATAGCAAATGTTTAATCTGTCCTTTTCGTTGTCAAAAGCTGCATGTGACCCCAGATGTGTGTTAAAGTATCCATAAACTAAGAAACTAAGAAATTAAGAACACTCAATGTACTGTAATGATAACCACAATCTGTATGATTTCCATCTTTTTTACAATGGATAAAGGCGAGAATAAGGAAGGGGGGATACTGTTCTGGACAGCATCAAGACAGTCGGCGTCCAACATTGCACAAGCTGTGTTTAAAACGAATATGGCAAATGTCTCCCTCGCCACAGTCATATTTATAGTCAACGCTACACACACAAAAGAAATAGTGAGACCATGCTTTGGTCATACATGAGCATATTAAAATGAATACTATTGTCAAGAGTAACTTGATCTATATACAACCTGATCTTTTTTAAAAAGAAAGCTTAGACTTTTTTATTATCATCACTGTCATTTTTTTCAAGTGCGTCTAATTCCTTGTCTATGGCTGTCAACAATTTCTCTAATCTTTGGCTAAGACGTTCAGTTGATTTATTTGTTTCGCCATGCTTGGCTGCCTTCAATTCTTCAATAAGCTAATAAGAAGAGTGTGAAAATCAATGGATGGTTTACAGCTAAATATATTCGTACCTCTTTGTAATCCTCATGATGAAACATGATTTCATTCAACTGAGCACGTTGTTCGAGATATTCTACCTTGGTCTTTAATTTGGCTAAAGCTGCTTGCAAATCTTCATCGCTTGATGGAACCTCATCCTAGAAGCATATTAAAACGAGTTTCTCCTTTTTCTGCTAATCAACTTACAATAGAAGGTAACTCTTTAAGCTGGCTTATATCCTGTTCTTGCAGACGGGCCTTTTCTTCCTTCTCTTCCTGTTCTGATTCATCTTCAATCAATTCCTCTTGTTGTTCAAGTACATCCAACTTTTGCTTGTATGTACTGGCACCCACTGTTTCCAGTACTTGAAGCTCAGCTTCATTTACCAAATTATCAGGCAAACTCTGGAAAGTAGCACGAAGTGCGTCTTCAGGGGTGACGCGAGGATCTGTAAAGGTAAAGGCACGTGACAAGATCAAAAGAGTCGAAGGTACCTTATGCTCCAAGTGCAATTCCAGCCACTGACTCAACTCATCGCGCATGCGTCCAGGTGAAGTACTGATGGTGCGTATACCACGAGCTGCACAAGCCGCACTTAATTCTTGCAGCGTCAAGTTTTCGATTCCCTCACGTTTGATCTCGACATCGTCATTCTTGATCTGTCGCATTCGATTGCGAATCTGGAAACGTAAGAAATTGTCTGTACCAAAGGCATTGATGTTCATATATCGACAGATAGAAACTAATTGTGGGCGAGACAAGTTGTCCAATGTCAGTTCATCCTCAAATTTACTCGCAAGGTTCAACAAATCATCGGTTGAAGCCTGTTCGCCAGTCATACGTACTTTGCGGAAAAAGTTGGCAAATTCCTTAGCTGCCTCAGGATCTGTGCCTGCGATAGATCCTGTCTCTGCAATTGTCTCTTGAAGGAATCGTGCCATGTCGAGTCGAACTTTAAGTAACTTCTTCTTTTTTTCTTCAGCACGTTTCTTATCTTCAAATGTGCTCGGTAACATGTTGGGAAACAGCTTTAAAGCAACAGGTAACAAAAGTTCCATGAAAGGAACAATGATAAATACGGCAAACGGAACAAGTCGAAGAATATCTGAAGTTGTACGTCGAAGCTATTAAGTGATAAGCAACAGACTACCTTCCTCCCCCTTTTTATATGCTACCTGTCTATTTTCACGTCGCGTTAGCTTCGTGCCTTGAAGCATTTTATAAGTTAATCGAGATGATATCTTAATTTCTAAACCAAGCAATTTAGCACCATGCCAGTAATGCACTGCTTCTTCCTTAATCTTTTGCATTAAAGTCTTCTTCTTTTCTGGTGCTGACATTTCTTTTTCAGACCGTTGTAAAAAGACGCGTTGTTGTGATAAGAATCGTTGGCGTACCATGAAAGGCTGATAACTTTGAACTAGTCTAGTTCGTATTGTTGTCCGAAACATAGTTAATTTATTTAATAAAAAAAAGAAAGAGAATAACAGTAGCAGTGGGGTTTTATATTACGATGACGTAAATTTTCTTTTGTGTTTTACTTATTTTGCGTTTGTATATTTATATTTGGTGGGAGCTGCATCTCTTCATTAACTGAAAACAACTATCTTGGCTCATTATATATTTGTGACAGTCTGTGGTTATTTTCAAAAGTTAAATATACACGACCTTCTAAAGCTTGTCTGCATACATTCGTGATGTTTGTCAACAACCCATCCGCTCTAATTCCAGCTTCAGATGGTAGTTCTGATTGAAGTACATCAGAGCTTTCAGTAATTGCTTCGATATCATTATTTTCCACAGTATACTGGGTAAGTATTATCCATGGTATGAACTCTCAAGGTAGAGTCAATTTCTAGGTAATGTAAGTATACTGTAGCATTTCTCTTATTATTGCCGTGACGGTCTACTTTGGCTGTAAACGGCACAGCTTTTATCAAAGCGATAAACTAAATCCATATGCTTACAAACACCTATTTCGTTGAAAGTTGATACAATTGCACACAGTCATCATTCCTTGCTCAGTTGATATATTGTATGCAACTTCCGTCGTGAAAGACTTGACAATATAACAAACTCCTTCATTGATATACACTTTCTGTACCATATCTTCTAATGACAGCTCATTGATCTCTTCTGCTGCAATCATTCTCTTTCTTGCCTCTCTAGTCTCTGAGCTCATACGTCCAATATCGACGGCCATCCTTGCAGTATTGTGCATAAAATCTGTATGAGCATCATCAACCAAGATAAAGATTAAGTGATCCAGTCTTCTATTTCTCTTTCTTTGTAAGTAATTTATCTTCAACTGGTTGTACCAGCTTTCCACGTAGCTACTGCTTTCCATGTTCTCTGGCTTTTTCTTTCACCTATTCCTCTTTTATTAAAGAATAGTAATCATGTCTGAGAGCTTAGTTTTAGAACAATACACACCCTTTCCTAGAGAAATTATTGTTGATATTGACTCTTGGAAAAATACTACTGAAAATTCTCCTGTCATTATGCAGTATGTTGGATTTATAAGGAAAAGACGAATGGTGATATGTCTAATTTAAACGAAGAAGGTCAGCATATGCCATAGTGCATAACAAGAAGAAGCATCATTTGGAAATGAAGTACATATGTCATAGAGCTGGGACCTATAAGAGCCATGCTGGTGTACAGACAGAAGATGAATCATCTAAAAGCCGGCCAATTCAGAAATCAAAGAAGATTGATTGCAGATACTATGTTACTGTCACCTGCTATTTCGTAACACCTAACCAGGTCACTGTTAAACTTCATAGTGAGCATAATCATCTTATCGAAAGCCTTGATAATATCTCTTCTTCGCCTTTATCGGATAATACGAAGGAAGCTATATTGCAAAAGTTACGTGAAGGTTAGAGTAGAAGAGATATAAGAGCTGCAATTCAACGTCACCTAGTCCAAGCTTTAAGATTCATAAAGAACTCATTTATACACAAAAATAAACATATATAAAAAATAACCTTTTCTACAACTGCATAAATTAATCCAAAGCCATGTTTTTTATTTATTTATTTATTCAAGTGCGGTTATTTTAAAGCTATCGAGCACGTCTTGCAAGCCCAATTCGCCTATTCTCATGATCATATACAGAAACATATTGCTGAAGGAAACCATATCCAAGGATAGCATCAACAAAGGAAGGGCTCTCCTGAATGTAAGTGTAACAAAAGTCTTTGGAAATTGACATCTATATTTAAGAGTAAGCAATGTGGACATAAAAAAACATGCAAATAAACAATTACTGCTCCACTTGTAATCACGTATTGCTGAGGAGTGATGATAAAGTCATTATTGTTCAGGGTAAGCGTAATCTCAGGCAGGTTGGCTACTTTACATGGTACAAGGTACTGCCCTAAAACATCCCGACGTACTCCTTTAATGTCTTTAAAGACAGTGCTGACAACGTCTTTGGGTAAATAAATTAGTGTTGAACCTGCATCTCACAGTTTTGTTAGTTCTCATTTGTCACGCTTTTTATATCTTTACCTGTATCAACCATTGCAGGAATACCGTCCCCATAGTTTTTTATAATGTTTCCTATTCTAATATTTTGAATATCCACTGCCCAATAGTCCTAAGTATACACTTGGTTAAATAATAAATTAAAGAAGAGAGAGATTACCCCAAACTCCTTTCTTCTTGTTATAGGTGCATATTTTATATCACCAATGATATGTCTAGCATCTACTCCTCCAAAGACAATCTCTCCATTAATACGCCTCTTTGAAGTAGTAACAGGATGAAAGAAAACAGAAAATGTTTGGTGAGCGATGACTCCTTTTTGGTACATGGTTGTCACCAGTGTTGGATATTCTTTGTGTTCTGGATTATTATAGATACTTAATCGATCAGGACCAATGCCCAAAATACCATCTAAACAACACTATTTACATCCTTATTATTAAAATAATAGTATCCCCTTTATACCTGCACCGTCCGTGGTTAATTCTCCATCATTATAATCAGACACTGCAAAATTCTTCACTGAAGGGGTGAGTAAGACCGTATATGAATTACGAATAATTTTATTTACAACTTCAGGTATAACCACTCCATTTACTGTCATTGTGTCCTGTGCATAGTAACCGGTTGCAAATCCCTCTCCGTACCGAATACTAAACGGTGTTCCTGTTGCATTAAATGTGCTCGATTTTAGTGGTTCTATTGTATGAAGGGGGTATCCACAATAGCGACCACAGCCTGAGATGGGTACCCAAGTGCTGGATGAGCCAGTATCTAATAATAAGGTAAAAGGCTGAGGCGGTGTGCCTATGTCAATGTCGATCAAATAGGCGAGATCAACATTGACAAGGGGAGCATTTACCAGGCGATTCTCAAAAGATGCTGCCTTCATTGTTTTACGATCCACTGCTTCGAAAGGGACTGATATCAATTTCTGAGCAATTGTGCATGTGATAGCTGTGGATATTAAGAAAGCAATGGACTTCATATCAACAGTGATTTAATAAAGAAGAGGGAAAAAAGATTAAAGTATTCTGTCACTTATTGTTTAATTGATGCTTCTTTTAGTTGCTCTTTTATATAATTTTAAGAATGTTGTATATCATTAAAAAGTTCAGTTTAAAACCAATTCTGCATATTCACTTTCTATCCGTCTCTCATTTGTGTATGTGAGTGTATCGTATGTGATCGAGCGTTGTGTTGTACGTGCGTGTGTGCGTGTATATATATAAACAAAATATACGTATAGTCTTTTATTGGTAAAAGATAGCTCTTATTCCTTTCTGACCTTCTTAGTCTTTCTGACACCACGGAACTTCTTTTCACGGTTCTTCTTTTCCTTGCGTTGCTTACGACCACCCTTAGGAGGTTCAGCAAGACCGTAACGGACGAGACGGTATCTAGGCTCGAACTTCTTCAAAGCTTCGAGGTTGTCATAGATCAAGGCAAAACCAGTGGTCTTTCCACCACCAAAGTGAGTCTTGAAGCCAAAGACGGAAACGACTTCCTTTTCGGCCTTGTACATTTTGGCAATCTTGGCACGAAGTTCATCCTTGGAGACATTGGCAAGTCCGGGATGAATGACATCGACGACCATTTGCTTACGTTGGAGTAAACGGTTGGTGAGGAACTTGCGAGTTCTGATAGTGACAGATGCAGCGTCAGCCTAAATACACATAGTGATGGTATTAATAGTGTATTCAAAAGATATTGTAATAGACAGATTTATGTTATTTTAGATGGATGAATGACTTTACCATATTAATGATTTGAAAAGGGAGGCTCTCTTTTTGGATGGCTTCTTACAACTTGATTCTTTGGCCAGGTACCTCTTTTAACATGATGGATACATTCACCCCATCCTTGCTCTGAGCCCCGTCCCTCTTTCTGTTCGTATTTTTTGTCCGGACATAAATGTCCGGACTTCACATTGCGCGATTGAACTTGGTCCGAGACCATATTTAGAAATAATACTGCATTTTCACTTTAGTTGACTATCAATCCTTTCTTTATTACTAAAAAGGCAATGAATTTTGTCTGTTTGGGAAAAGAGGAGATAAGTGTGGTCAACGCTTTATACAAATGAAAAGTTGTTAAAGACTTTGTTTAAATAGTCTGATCTTGACTTCTTTTTCATTTCTTTTTTTCTTTGGACCAAAAAGTAAGACCAGCTCCCCAGCTAGCCCTAAGGCATGTTATATTTTTTACTCTTGTAAGATATGTAGTATTATAGATTGCCCATCGAAACTAACCCGGTGCTGGCTGGGGATAGTTTGGTTCTTACCAAACTTTGGTCCCATACACTTCTTCAGCCCCTTCCGCTAATTTGGCCGCTCTCTTTCTCGCTTCTCTTGGTCTCCCTTTGCTTGTTTCTTCTCTTCTTTTTCCTGGCCAGTTATTGCTGACCCTTTTTAATGCACCTCGGGTATGATATTGATAATCTCTCTACATGTTTACTCATTTTCTTGCTTCTCTTTTCTCTTATAAATCCTCTATAATGCAAATATTTAACATCAGTTTAATAACTGATTTACTAATTATCTCTTTATTCATTCTTTTGCTTCTTGTGGGCTCTCTTTTATCATTATTTGTTATCTCGTATTGTTTTTTGTTTGAAATTATCGTTTTTTTATCAGTGTGTAAATAATTTGTGAATGAAGTGTATACAGGTACTTTTTTTTTATTAATCTAAATCAATCCTTTTGCAACAGCGATTTCAGCGTTAAGAACCGAAGAACCAGCTGCTCCAAGCAAAGTATTGTGTACTAAAAGAACAAATTTAATATCTAAAACAGGACACTTTCTAACACGACCAACAGTAACAGTCTGGCCCTTCAAATTTTCACGATCCAAGCGAGGTTGAGGTCGGTCAGCATCATAAGTGACAACAATGGGTTGTGCAGGCGCTGAGTGACATTGTAGCTTTTCTGCGTCTGATGAGTAATTCTCGAGTGCTTTACACACATCTTCCACTGATGGGCAGCCATTAGCGAACTTGACAGACACGGTTTCAAAGTGACCATCTAATACAGGTACACGGGTACAAGTAGCAGAGACTATTGTGTTTTCTAAAAGACTGAATCCATTCTTATTTTCAGACACACCGCCCAAGATCTTGCCTACTTCCCATTCCATCTTTTCTTCTTCTCCTCCAATATGAGGTACAATGTTATCAAGGATATCTAAGCTAGGCACACCAGGGTAACCAGCACCTGAGATAGCTTGCTGTGTATTTACAATAACATGGCTTAAAGGACCAAATGCGTCTTGTAAAGCTTTCAATGGTACAACTAAACCGGTGGTTGAGCAGTTGGCATTTGTGATGAGGAAACCCTTTTTGAGGTTATGTACTGAGCGTTGATGGGGAATCAAGTCAAAATGATCGGGGTTTACTGTGGGCACAATCAAAGGAACGATGGGATCTCGACGATAGTTCTTTGCGTTGGAAAAGACGGCAATATCTTTTTTCAACATGGCCATTTCTATATGCCCAAGATCAGTATGGAAAAAGAAAAAGAAAAGATAGACTTACCGATATCACCAGCAACGTCAGCATCAAGACCAGAAAAGACAACATCACAATCAGCGAATAATTCAGCTTCGCAAGGCTTAACAATCATCTTTTTGACGTTGTCTGGAATAGGCTTAGACTGCTTCCAACGGACAGCGTCCTTGTATTCTTTTCCAGCAGAACGAGAGGAAGCGCCGAGAGCATGAATTGTGAAGATAGGATGTTCAGAAAGTAAGAGAATGAAACGCTGGCCTACAGTACCAGTAGCACCGAGGATACCAACTTTTTTAGCTGCCATTATTTACTAGGAAAAAATAGAGAAAGAAGGGACAAAAATTAGATTTTTATCATTGGAATCAAAGTTTGTGACTCATTGTTTATCGATTTTTACTCGCTTAAGCAACAGCGACTTTGCCGGGTTTCCACTTGACAGAAGATCAACTCCGATAAAAGTAATTCTCCAATCAAATTGATGATTTTTAGGAATAAAGATCATCATTGAGGAATCCTAACTGGGAATCATGCTGCAAGCAGGGATCAGTCCAGTAACAACTTTTATCTCAGCCGCCTGAGTGCTTGAAGGACTTGCCTGCATGTACAGATATTCAAGTAAGGTACTTTAAGGACAACCTCCGCCAGTGCAACACTACCTTTGCGTTTACTTCCATATGCTATGATACTGCATCTCATAAAAAAGATCGCCAATGACATCCTTTGTGGATGTGGTAGACTCACAAATTTCTTCGCCGTATTGAGGCACAGTCCTCCTTGTGGAGTTTAGATATTTACTACTAGTTAAGGTTCAGTAACACCAAATGTTTTCTTTTCAATCAAAATGTACAACTTCAAAGCTATATATGCTAATATTCCCAGACTGAGGAAAGAACAAAGAATATCAAAACATACTCTTGTCAGCGGAACAATATCTGTAGCCCTTATAAAGAAATAAAATGGTTCAATTAAGGAGAGCTTCACTATAAATTTTATGGTTCTGCAGGAAGCAAAACAAAAAAACTGGAATTGCCTTATAAATATTCTGTAAATGCGGAGGGAACTGTCAGAGAATATATTAATGACAATTACGAAAAAACTGAAATTATAAAAAAGGGAGGCCTTTGTTTGAGCGCAACACGAGCAAAAACGAAAGAGAATACACAGAGAACCACAGCTGATCGGAAGAGAGCTCGAAACAGGATAGAAACAGCTACTCTTTGGGTAATGTTTCGCTACAGTTTTGGGTACTGCTGCAGTCCTCTGCGGTCAGAGTGATTGAAGGGTGCGCTGATTTTTTTAATAACTGTGTCTTTGTTGACAAATCCGATTTCATCATGCACGTAATGCTAAAAGTAAATTGACTATGATAAATATAATCATGTAATAATATCATATAGCTTAGTTGCATTTTTTTTTGCTGCAACAGAAGGTTCAAGCACGTTTAATAAGTGTCGGAGGTCCGAAGACTTGACGGTTCAAACACTTTTCGAAACAGCAACTTGAAAATATCTTTTTTCCTGAACTGTTCAGAGCGTATAATTGAATTTAGTGAGTATTTCTCTTCTAATAACGCCAGTTTCGTTCTTGGCAACTGTTTGTATGGCACCTGCTTGACTGTTTATATGTTTAGTTCAAACGTTGAGAGTTTGACTGAAGCTTGTCATGTTGACGAGAAACGGTATGCTTTTGTACATATTACAAAAAGCCTTGTTCATTTACGCATTTATCCTTGTCTTGTGTAGCGGAACAGTCTAATCTTAAGAGGCAAAGGGTGTTATCTTTCCCCATTCTTGCACAGATTGTAAGGGTGTCTAGTGAACTCAAATTATTGAACGGACGGCATGAAATTTGTGAAACAAAAAAAGGGTATTTAATAGTGATTCTCCCTTTGCTCTTATGGCAATTGTTTATGCAAGCCCTCTCGCATTATATTAGAATATAGCTTAAAGCTACTGATAAGTCTAGGTCAAAAATCTCCCTCGAGCATTCATTGCTGGTGTGACATTTCCTTTATGTTTTCTGGCACTCTACAAAAGCATCTGTCCTTGGTTTCGTTAATTTGTTGTAGGTATGTATACTGCCCATGTTTCATCGGTTATTGTACGAACACAAGCTATAAGCTTCTTTATTGTGAAATGAAGCCAGACTATTTCCAGCTTCATTACTGTATTGGATTTCTTTATCATACCTTTCCTCCCTAAACAGAATATGGAAATAAATAAATCTAAACTAGAAGCAACGCTGTCAAGAAGCCTTGTTCTTCTCCTATAGGACATCTTTAAAAAGAAGCTCACATGATGTCATTATGCAATAAATTGTAATTGTTAATAGCCCATGGTATAAAAAGCGCGATTATATAAAGATATTGGAAAAATGATAGATATAGAATGCAGCGCAAAACTTTGTTTAAATTTCATTAATGCAGTTGAACTTATCATCTCTCTTTTGTTCTAAAACTCTACCTACAATTAGCGCTACAGAATATGAAAGTGTGTACACCAGCAGGAAATCTACTGTTATTCATGGCGATGCATTGAGAACAAGAAATATGGATAACATCACCTTGTTTGATCTGTTATTTACCAAAGAATACAACAAGACACCTTCAGATCAGATAGTTTTTGCAGAAGCAAGTGATCCTAATAGCCATATAACCTATGGTCAACTCCAAGGTCAAGTATTAAGATGTGCTTTTGGCCTTAAACGCATGCTTAATATCCAACATGGTGATGTCGTGGTTATATGCTCCCCTAATAGCTTAGAGTATCCTGTTTTGTTTTACGGAATAATAGCAGCAGGTATATCCTACAAACAAACTGTAGTGAACACATTACTCACAACTCAGTTAGGTGGGGTTGTTGCTCCCATACGTCATTCTACCTATTCAAGTTTTGAAGAAACAGTAAACGTTATCAACATTATTCAACCAAAAGCAATTGTTGTGCATGAATCGGAAATTCAAACCGTTTTCCCAGCAGCAGAAAAAGCAAAAATACCAATGTCTAATATCCTGGTGATTACTTCTTGCATTAACTACATAAAAAATACATACACTGGCACTCAAGCAGTCGATTCAAATCTTTTCTCAAACGAGGAACCTGCGGAACCTTATCCATACACAAAGGACGATCTGATGAATTCTCCTTGTTGTCTGTACCTCACGTCCGCATCTACGGGTGATTGCAAGGTAGTGATGATTCAACAAAGTTCACTTGTCTGTTTGTTGCTAAATGGACCCTACATAACCTCCCCGTTGAGATGCTTGGCGCTTTCGCTCTTTAGTTTTGTGAGTGGTCTTAGATGCCATCTGTTGGTTGGTTTGTTTTGTGGAAGCACGACGTATATCACAAAAGACAAAGAGCGAACATTAGAGAATATATGCGAAGCAGTTCAGAGGTTAAAGATTAATTTTATGATTGGAGTTCCATGCTTGGCTTCAGGTTTAGTAAAGCAGTTGAATATAGCTAAAAGGTACGATCTCTCGTCCATGACCAGGGCGTTTACTTGTGGAACATTCATGGACAAGTCTATCATACGACTCGCACGGAAACACCTGAATATAACGTTCATCAACGTATATGGTATGACGGAGGCTTTGGAAATATTTGCCAATGACGAAGAGCATTCGCTGGCAGGATCAGTGGGCCGGTTGGTTTATGGAGCACTTGCACGAATCGTGGATGAAGATGGTAATGATTTGCCCATTGGAGAAGAGGGTGAATTGCGCATAAGGAGTCCCATGGTAACTCTTGGCTATCAAAGAAACCCCAGAGCGACAGCTGACCTTTTTGATAATCAAGGTTACTTGAAAACGGGTGATATCTTTAGAGTAGATGAAGACGGCTATTTTTATTTCATTACTCGCAAAAAGGATTTGATAAAGGCTTTTGTAGTTAACATATTCCCGATTGAAATTGAACAAATACTAATCAATCACCCTCAAGTCACTGATTGTGCTGTTATTGGTATTCATTCCAAAGAAGAAGGTTTGGAAGTGCCACGAGCCTACGTATCTCTGCTTGATAATTCAAAAGATAAACACAGATTATTAGAGGAGATACGTATGTATGCTGATTCTCAACTACCTGATCCCAAAAGACTGCGTGGTGGTGTCTTTGAAATACCGGTATTTCCTAGGACAGCATCTGGAAAGATTCAACGATTCAAGCTTCGGCAAATGGTGGAAAAAGGTTACATATGAAGCTCTAAAATAAAGTGTTTACAGCATAATCCTTTATTCCAAAAAAAATCTCTATCTCAAGCGCTCTTCTTCTTGTTACGAGCTTCATAAAAGGCTAGAAAATCCCTTTTATCCTGCATGTTCAAGTTCATCTTTCTAAGTTTGAACAAGTGGCCGAGATGAGTAACCAAGGAATCAACAGTAGAAGAAGAAGTTGATCCATGGAGCTCTCTCTTGGCTAATATTCTCACATGTAATGTATTATGAAACTATGATAGAGAGAGTCATAAGCTATATCTTTGGATTGCATAAGCAAGCTGAAGTTTACCTGTGCACATAGTTTGTAAAAGTGTAGCCACATATTTCCAACTGTAAATGTAGGAGACATATTGGTATATTCATATCTACTTTGTATGTCAAGGGCTTTGATCCTCTTAAGATTACTTTTAACTTACTTGAAGGAGACCAAATGGAAAGTGACCTCATCTAGGCTCACTTGATCCAGTAATGGATGAAATTTGAGCAGTGCGCGACCATTTGTGGTTGTGCCCTAGATCACGTTAAATACAATAAAAAGGAAAACAGTTCTATTTTACCTCGGGAAAGATAACAATAGGTCCCCATCCGTGTTGCTTTGCATTCGAAACCAACTCTTTCAGACTATACACTTTATCATCCTCTGACGGCTTTGATTCCGGTGGTGTTTGTACCAATCGAATCGCCTGCCACAATGAAATTTTCTTGATGCTGTTACTGTCTGAATAGATCTGTGTAAATATCGGTTGAAATCTAAACAAAATCCGATCGGTTGATTCTCACTTGTTTTCAAACAAAAACACACGTCTTACTTGTATGCAAGATAGAGTACATCCACATATGAAGTCCAGTTGGCAATAATGACATCTCCATCCTTTACAGTCGCTGTCTCTATTTGACCGCTACCTCGGCTATAAACACATGATTGTTAGTTGTAATAAAAACATACAGGGTACTTGTAAACCTTTTACGAACAGAGATAGTCTCTGTCTTGATTTGAAAGAAACCCATAAAGAACAGAATAGATCTAATGATAACAGCAGAAATAAGAGACTGCCATATTCTCTTTAACGGTCTGATGGGTGTCTATTATAACGATGTAAGTTTTTATTGTCGTTGCCATATGTGTCATCTTTACCAATAATATGCCAATACAGAAAACAAGCAGGATATAAAGTAAGCCGAGAGCAAAAATGATCAGTGTCTTTAAAATACCCTGCGAGTATCCAGCAATCGAACAAACTATTTTTGAAAGGGTGATCAAGATGCTCGAATCTGTTCTAGGCGGCTTCGAATGAAAAAATAGGTATTAATCCAACCATGGTCATTACTTTATAATGTACTTACGACAGGAGGAAGAAATGGCTGAATGCCGGTGCCTGCATCCTATATACATATATATAATAAATACCAAGTTGACTAATGACAAAAAGAAGGGGGGAAATCTTACTCTCCATTTCGAATACTTTTCCATGATAAAAAATAAAGGAAGAAAAAAAGAGGGTATAAATATACACAGACGTCAATTTATTATTATTATCATATAGTATCATTATTTCTTTTCAGACGTAGGTGAAATGATTTTGAAATCATCCAATCTGACAAAGACGCCGCGTTGAGGGAAAGTTTGAAAGTATCGCGTACCATTAACTGACCCATCATTATTCCCCACTAATTAAAAAAAAAAAGTTAGGAGGATATACAATTGGGAATCTTATTTTACCTCTAGACTCGAGTTCGATTCCAACCCAAGTTCCTTTTGAAAACTCGACCATACCAATATACTTGATCGTACCCAACGTCGGCAACGGTCTACGAAGCAATTCGACCTTTTGTCCAATTTCGGGCACAATGGTGGCCGTTGCTTCATCATCACTGCTATCACTGGTATTATACCCGAGCGACCATCTCGATCGGCTCTTGGGCGATTTAGTGCGTTTCTTTTGCTGTTGCATCGTCGCACGGTGAGGACGCGTAGGGGTATCAGGCAATGCAAACTTTAAGCGAGTTTGTCGGGGTGCAGACGGCGCGGAGGATTCGGTCGTCAAGACGTCCTTGTCGATAGGCAAGAGAGCCTCTGTAAGGGACGAGTGAGACCCTTGACGCTTGGTCCGCTGAAAGGGTGTCTTGCTGGTATCTTCGTCAGGTTCTTGAGATTTTCGAAGGATGGAAGGTGTGGCTGTATTTGAGGCGGAGAGAGATCTCAAGCGACCTCCTTCCCGAGATGGTTTGTTTCCTTCTATTTCCTGGGTCTGAGTCGATAGCCGTTTAAGCGCAGGCTGCTGCTGCTCAACAGTTGCTTTGGCCGGTATCACATTGACAGGTTGTGTCGTGGACGCTTTTTTGGGTTTAAAGCTAAAGATGGTCGAAAAGTCATTCTCCATTGGTTTTGTCAAGTTACGACAGGGCACATTGATGTCTAATTAAAAAATGGATAAATGATTTTTTTGAATGATAGATAGGGCTTTTTTTATATACAAACCATCAGCCAACTCTTTCAAGACTTCCTTTTCAATCATTTGAAAACCACCCTCGGCCTTGATCATCATCCATCGTTTAGCAATGTACTGAGCACATTTGGCCCTTGCCTCGGTCAGGACACCATCTACGGCAACATTCTTGACCATCTCTTGTCTTCCACCGAGATCACGGACGATACCTTGGTAAAGTGAGGCAGCGTTTCCGTCATGAATACCGTCGGTCAAGACCTTGGCGAGGACGAATTCAAGAAAATCGACCGAGAAACCGAAACCGATACCATCGACGCAAGAGAGTAAAATAGGATACTCGACGCAATAGTATTCAAAGTGGTTGGAAATCATATCGATTGTCTGATGTAAAAAGGTATGGAGGATGTTGAGCAGAGGTTGTGACCAGGTAGGAATTGGATCTGCACCTCGAAGGGCTGAAAGACAGAGATGAAGTGAGTGCAACACACGGACAGCGTTATGCTTGGTTATATTAGCAGAAGTAGTGTCAGCAATTTCTTGAACAAATGGTTTGTTTGTCTGAACAAGGATCGCAAATGGCTTTTGTGACCACAGAGGAGCAAGTGATTCAAGTGGATCTGAATAGAGTGTGATCAGATGAGATTTGAGATTTGCCAGATACTTTTCTTGTTTATCAGCAAATAAAAGCATAAAGGGTAAGAGGGGAGCACAGTCTTGACAGACGCATTTGAACTGATGACAGAGGGTTTGCATTCTTACCAGAACGGCCAAGCAGATGGTGTTGTAATGACCGAGGTAATCAGCTGCGGCAAACACTTTCTGAAGGATACGTAATTCATGTTTCTTTTCGTTTAACCGAGTTAGCTGTTTATTGTGCGTGCTGGAAGTGAGAGGGGGTAGAATAAGCTTGTCGGTATAAAAGTAATAGAGAATGACTTGTAAAGTGGTAGGTGAGAATAGATCAGAAGGTAAATGAACAGAAGAGGTAGATGCTTCTCGAAATTCTGTGCAAAAGACTGAGTAGAAGTAACTGGATTGACTGGCCAGAATGAAACGATGGGCAGGAAAGGCATGTTGTGTTTTCTCTGAATCCTGTTGCGTTGATTGTTGGTTATTCACTTGAAATATATTTAATACGACATCTGTACAGAGTTTTTCATCAATCATGCGCTTCAAGTCGGATATCCACTGTTCTTTATCCTGATCTGCTTCATGATTAGGCAAAAGAGGTACACCCAGCTGAGATTCAAACTGTAGTATTTCTTGACGCATGTTATTCAAGACCACTTGAGACTGAATAGCAGAAGGCGAGTTTATGGATATGTCATGAGGTGCGTCAAAATCTGCTGTGTACCAGAATCGGAGTAGTCGCCGAAGGGTTGTATAAGGTATCACCGGGCTGATATCTATTGTATTTGATGTTAACAAGTCTGGCAGGTATTTTTCTCTAAAGGCTAAAGGCACTCTAGCCAATAAAATAGCTTAATGTACGTGTCAGTAAAAGAATAAAAATGTAAATGGAGTCTAACCTTTATGTGCCCATATCTTTGTAGATGGGTATTCGAAGCAGATATCAGCAACATAATCTTGGGCATTTTCTAACACATTAAATAAAGATTGTTGAAGTGTCTTTAAAGGACGTTCAAACATGAAATAAATAAAGAGAAAGAAAGAAAGAAAAAAGGAGTAAAAAAAAAAAAAAAGAAAAAAAATAGATTTAAACTTTTTTGAATAACCATCTCACATTAAATTGGCCATTTTTGGAAATACAATGAATCCATTACATATACAACCAAGATCACAAAGCTCGAAGTGTAATTGAAAAATAAATGGCAATTCTTGAAAAATAAATAGAGTCTATGTGACATGTCTCGAATATTTAAAGAAGTGATAAGGGAAGTAAAAGTCGATGAGTCTCTAATTAACCTCTTTATTGTGTGTCAAGACGAGAGAGAGCTCATTATTACAAACAGCGTCATTTTATATGAAGATAGAATTATTAAGGAACCGATTTAATTATGGCCAATAATAGTTGGGTATGTCGCGTTATATGTTAATAACATGTATTGTTGTCAGTATCTTTGTATTATTCATTCTTAGAGTATAGATTTATAGTAATCTCATACGACAAGTTTAAGTATTTATAGGGTAAATACGACAGTCTAGTAGGTTTGTGACATTTGTTTTTTGATAACTGACAAAATATACCAGCCGCACTATATTCATTTCCTCCCCACCCCCTCCTCCTTGAGTTACAAATTTCATATATAAAAAAGAGCCATTTTGGTCTAATGCGCTATTTAGTAAATTCCAAGTCAGATATATTACCTTGGTAAATATCTATAAGGCGCAAGACTTAATTGCTCATATGTACGAATGTATACAAAAATGTACCTATCATTACTCAGCAATTCATTCATTTCTTATACAAGCAGTAATTAATCTCTTGTTTATTGAAAATACTTACAAATAGCATTAAAAGCCTTTACTATCCTTGAGCAAAAGTGTATTATAAACTATGAATGCTCAGTTTACTATCAATCCCTTCTTAATATATATATGTGTGTGGTTAATGCAGCCTAAAAGTTCAAAAAATATTTTTTTATATTTTCTACTTCAGACATCCCTGGTCACATTTTTTTTTCTTTTTCCCCTTCTTTCAAAAATGTCATTTAGAGCACTTAAATCAACTCGAGATATTCTTCAACAATTGAGAACAGGACCTGGAGCGACTGCTTTACCTTCAAATATAAACAAGATTGCATTGACATTTGCGATAAAGGGAAAGAATGAGAGCGCTTCAGCAAGGTATATTAATACAGTATACAAAGAGCAATGACTCATGGGTTATAAACAGACACTTTTTACAAGAGAATCTTCCTCGTATGCAATATAATAACCCACATATAGAATATGAAGTCAATAGAGTCCATGATTCTAGTATTAAACCAACAGTGACCATTCATTATAGTAAATATATTGTGTGTACTTTTTAAAGACTTTAGCTAATATGTGTCAATTTGTAGGTGATGGAAAATCAAAAACATTAGATATTGCTCGTGTGCAGTCAAGTGCCATTTGTGAACAAATCATGAGTAGTTAAAATAAACAGGATAGAACGATTGAACAACCAATGACAAAGACCAATACAGATATATCTTGTACTAGACATGACCAAATGAGTTTGTACCGTAAAAAGAGAGTGACTATCTGATTGAGTGGTGGTGGGAGCATGGTCACGAAGAATGGTGTATTCGGAATAGATCCCTTATGATACATCATCTGAGCTGTTTGTAAAGCGAGTTCGACAAGAGCAAAGTACCAAAATAGAGACTATACAAATTAATTACATATTGATATATGTATATCTAAAACACTTACAGTATATGGAGAATTGATGGTGTTTTGATGCAATAAAGAAGCAAATTGATCTCGACCCATAACTGATCTTTCCTTGTAAACAATAAATAGACCCAATAGTGTCATCAGAAACAATCGGACCAAATTCCAATATTTGACAGAAACATCTTGGCTAATTGTTGTATTATTACTATTGTTGCTGTTGTTGTTGACATTGGCTGTAAAAAAAGGATTGTTTGCAAAGAATGGATTGTCATTCATGTTATTATGGTTCATTGCAAGGAATGGATCATCGAGCTGTGGTAACAATGGTGGCGGTGCACCTAATTCCTCACTAGGGTCCTCGGTACTATCTCTTCTTTTTGTTGAAAAATGAGTCTGTTCAGCTGTATATTGACATGATCAGTTTACACAATTTTTTAAAAAAACAAGTTTCTTATTACGAAAGGCAGTAGAAGTAATCTTGCCAAGACGGCTTTGTCCTGATGCCAATATACGTTGCTGTCTTCGTTGTCTTCTACGTTCGTCCATAATTAAAAAAAAAGAAAAAGAAAGAATATAGTAAAAGAGAGGACCACGTATTAACGGTGCTTTATTATTGCTGAATTTCTACAGCCACACCGAACTAGCGTTCGTGCTATACAAAAATTTAATAAAAATCAAAGCTTTTTTTTTTGATCAATATTTATCTCAGAAGGGAAGCCGTGCACATTACGACGGTTTTAAAAAACATTTAATTTCTTCTATAGTTGGGAGGTCGACCTCTTCCATCTCAAATCGAAAGAGAAATGGACAGCATATTCTTACAAGCGTTGATATCTCGTTGCTATAATGTCTTGCAGGTGTTACAAATCAGGACACTACAGCCTTTCAATTCAGACATTCTTGCAAGAGGATCGTTATTACAAGCATTGCAAACTTTTGAAGTCTTGTATTCATCAATTGTAATGGCGATATCTCCAGCTGCTTCTCCTCTTTAATGCTCGCCAAAAAATGCCAGTGACGCCACGCCTGTTTCCCTTCAGCTTCATCGAGTCTTTTCCAAACATTCTCGCACCAAAGACTACGAGGAGCACTTTCTCTCTTTCCATTTGGAGCTTTGCGAGCTTCCACTTTTGGCTTCTTTGAAATAACAATGAGATAAGACTTGAATACCAAAGCTAAAATTGATTACGTACCTGTTTTTGGCAGCTCGGTTCTTTTTTTTCTTTTGGATTTGCCATCAGTTTTTGCTTCTTGCTTCTTTTCTTCTCCCTGTTTCTCTTCTTTCTTTTCTTCTTATTATACTTGGTACCTCCATTTACAAGCATGTTCACCATTTCTTCTGCCGCCCTTTGTCTGTCTTGATACAAGTAGAAACGAGCCTTTGCTATTTTATAATCATAGAAAGCGGACAAGGCGCCAACATGTGTAAGAATATATTCAATGTAGACGAAGTAAGCAGCGCATTGTGGTGTTTTAGGAGAGAGTATATTGGTCTCAATTTTTTTATGCCCTTTTGAGCCTTAAGTCTTTCTAGTTTTTAATGTACTTTGTTAATCCGGTCATGTGATAATACTCTGCTGTTGAGCAGCGTCTTATTTGATGGTTGGTTATATCTAAACCAAGTGCAGCAGTGAGCACGCTTTTTTTCCCAGGATCAAGAAACATGGGCTAGTTGTTCTTTTGTTGAATACAAAATTAACTGAAAATCCGTCAGACTTGACAGTATTTGCAAACATGATTTTGTTGTTCTGATTTGGTAAGCAATCTACAGACAAGATTTTACCTATTGATTCTTAGTTTTTTGAAATTAAAAACTCTGTAGAACATTCATAATTGATCGTTATAATTCCTGGTAAAGATTCTTTAACAAAGGCAGATAAAGAATTTGCGCTGATATTGATGAATCGCCAGTGCAACGATGGGTTTGGTAATACAGAAAAAAGCCTAGGCAGAGGTAGTCTTCTAACATCATAAGCATGGTGCTCTTTATGTTCTGCTCCATATGTCCATAGTATATACAAGATACAAGGCAAAAAAGCACTTGGAGACGCAAACAATTCCTTTAGTGTTACATATGTGGTTATAAACCGCTGTTATGGCAGGCAAGCCTTATCAACTGCTGTTTTTGTCTCTTGAGTGAAAGTAGCATCTTGCGGCCATTTAGGCTCTCCTTTGCATACAGATTGATAACAATAGTCATAGGCTATTTTCTTCACGTCTTGGTACGCCATTGACTACATAACACAAGTTATTTACATATTCTAGTAGGATATTTCACATAAAAAAATGGAACTTACCACAAAAGTGTTTTGAATAAGATACGAAAGGTATTTAAGCAATCTTGCTTCAAAGTTCTCGACTATGCAGTTTGTGTATGTGGTCGCTAGTTGTATACATGCCTCTGAAAGACATTGGCTAGTTCCACTCGCAAGCTTTTTGGTATATATAATGAATCTATGACTTTGTCTAAACAAATTCCAGTTTTCAAGTAAGCCTTCTGGGAGTGCAGCACTGTTTGCCACCCGCTTATCCATAACTAACTGACATATTGAATACCAAAAATCTTGCTTAAGGATAGGACTCGAATGGGTTTTTAAATTCAATATGTACTAGTTGATAAAAATCTGAGCTCTGAAAACTACTTGACGCGCGTCTTCACATGTCAGTATTATTGCCAAAGTTGATTAAAAGAGAAAGAAAATAATAGGTTCATAATTTCATTTTATTTTGAAACTTTTTGTGGTCAGGGGCAAATGCGGATCAAATCAAGAGGCTATATGGGTTCTTCTAAATGATTTATACTTACTTTATTGCATAGTTACTCTTATCGACAGAGTTTCTCCTTTTTACAAACAGGTCCTTTTCAATTGCTTTTGACAAATGTCCACAGTCACTCAACTGGGTTTTAGCTCCGGTGAATAGGATGAAAGGAACACATTTGTAGTATTAAAAAAAAAGAACGTGATCCTTATCAATTATGCGAAGAAAGAAAGTATTAGGGTGGATATTACATTAGAAAAGCAGGGCATTCCTGTGGCAGCATCGCAAAATAGTCAAGATAATTAAATCAACAGTACAAAGCACAATTGATAGAATAAGAAGATCGGATCGCCCCTACTAATCAATACAAAATGTAGAGCCTATAAGATAAATGAGAAATCACAGAGGTTGCTTACGGGAACGATGGGAATAATCCATTCGTAACATACAACGGCCTGAGGCTAGAGTTGCGTAAAGTAGATGTAAAGGTTGGTAGTAGACTGTTATCAGCATTCTGAAGAGGATGGAGTATGGTTCTTATACTGCTGCTCATAAACCAGCGTTGATAAAAGAGTACATGAAGAAAGGGCTTTGTTGGGCCCATGAACGTGTCCACTGGATGGATGAACAGTGGCCTAGCATCATTTGGAGCGATGAATCTCGGTTCATCGTTACCGGTAACGATGGTGGTGCCAGAGTCATCAGAACGATATGACGCTAAGCATATTGTACCAGCGAAGAAGTATGGAGGCGGTGGGGGTGATGATTTGGAGCTGCTTTCATGCCAATGGTTTTGGTCCTTTGGTCTTGGTTGACGGTACAGTTGATCAAGACAAACATAAATATTTTAACCTAAAGCCTTCAACTTGGATCGCACAGCTCTTCTAGAAAGAGAATAAGGATTTTATATTTCATAAGGATGGAGCTAGCTGCCACAACTGGCGACTATGTTCAATGATGGAAGGAAGCCCACCAGACCAGGGACTTTGAGTACTGACCTGCGCAGAGCCCTGATTTGAACCCGATAGAGTATGTTTGGGTCGCTTTGGGTAATCTTATCAAGGAAAGAAGAAGTGAGATAAGAAATACTGAAGAGTTGAGTGTCGTGCTGAGAGAAGAGTAGGAGAAAATAAACCCTAAGTTAGCTACATGTTTGGTCAGAGGCATGAAGGCTCGATGCGAGGTGGTAATAGCCGCAAAAGGAGGGTCGACGAAGTACTAATTTTTCTTTTTCTTTTATATTCTTTAAATAAGCATGTCAAAGCTTATTTTTTTATAACTACGAAACCTCAAAACACTGAGCATGAAGAGCAATGACTTTCCAAACATTTGACGTATAATTTGCGGAAGATTAATTTACATTTTGGTACGAAACCGAACTATGTGTGACTCTATTGCCAACCAGTAGCCTAGTTACTGTTGTCAAGTCAAATAATTGCTTAAACGATGTTACCAACCAAAGCTTATCACTAATACTCTCCCAAGTAAGATGGTCGATATGTCGAGTCTGGATGTTGACGCTTAGAATGTATGGCGCTTCTTCTTTTTTTTCTTGTTTTTTTACAAGAATATACAAAGTAAAGCTTTTTGATGTACACACCGTATATACTTTTTCTTTTCCTCATTCATCTTACAACTTTATCAAGTCTTTTACAAAAAGAGAAATACTCACAAACCATTCTTCACTATTCACTTAAAAACTATCTACACACAAGCAATGCATTAGATGCTTTGTTTATTATCACAGGAGACCCCCACAAACCCACTCTCCTTTTTAGATTCGCTATATCTTGATGAATATTATTAAAATTTACTTGGGCCTCCTTCTCACTCATTAAAGGCGTCGTTCATTACAAAAGAATCCTTCCTTTCAGGCGTTGAATAATTGATTCAATTTTTCCGAGTTTTTTCCCAAAAAGTCAAGTACGTATTACGACGTAACATAAAAGGTAATTCTAAGCGGGTAGTTTTAAAATAACAAACTGCTGAATTATTTTATTGATCTAATATTAAGCCAATGAATTCAAGTAGTCCAATGGATCGCTTAGTGATTGAATTTGATTTAATGAAATAGCCGATGAGCGTGTCTTGATTTAATAAATAAGACAATACATATTGAAGATATTCTTTCATATACACCTTGGTTGATTCGAACCATTGATGAATATAAATCAATACGTCATAGAGTAATCCATTTTGTATGATAACCATTTCATTTGTAGATTGACATGATTCGCATTGAAGTGGTCTGATCAGACAGAGAGGCCTATTATAACTTGATAGTAGTGTAAATGACATCCAATCATAATTTAAACTTTCTTCATAGTTCGACAAGGATTCACTTTTAGACCAGCGTAAACAAATAGGTTCATTCTTTTCCTGACTCCTTTTATATAAATTAGACAAGTGACTGCAAAGTATTGGAACATCGTCATTATAGATAAAGGTCATGATCGGCCTACCCAGTAGTGCATGATTAGGTTGTGCGAGGTGTTGATTCTGTACTTGGTCGATCGTACCAAATGGACTCAGTTTGATGATTGAAGGTATCAATAGTTTATTCTGACTAGGCTCGGTCATTGGTTTCATTAACCAATAGTCCAGACAAGTTGAACTACCCAAGGGATCTTGATGAATACAGACTTGAAAAGATAATAGCTGACCATTTGAATGTTGTATAGCACATTCTGGTATTATCGTTAGCTTGGATGATAATTTAATAAACTGAACTATCGACCGTCCAACGATGTCTGTCATTGAATATCCTAACAGATCCAATAATTCATCTGTGGCTGTAATAATAGATTGAGTCGAATGGTTGGTGATGAATAAGCAACTTGATCTTAGGGGACAATTTGCAAAAGAATGAGACATGTTGTATGTATTTGTGTGTGTGAATAAAAAGAAAAGAAAAAAAAAAAAAAAGAAAAAGGGAAATAAATAATCACAATAATAATAATAATCATGGGCGCGCGTGATTATAACTTCACATGAAAGTACCTGAAACTTTTTTTTTATTGTTTTTATTTACTTTATGTTTAATCTTTTTCTTTCACCTTCAAGCTAACAAAAGAATGAGTGACCATCTTTGTTTTTATATAATATACTTGCCACTTTCTTAACTCTTGCAAGACTGGTTGTATGACTGGATTTACAATCTTCTATTCCATAAGGTGGTGTAATATAGACCTCATCCATGACAATAATTGTATCCTTAGACCACCGACACGGTAATCTATATCATTGTAAGAATAATAATTTGATTACGCTTTTCTTTTCTTTTTTTGCTTTACGTTTTGCTTAATGCATAAAATATATCTTGTCCTTCCTTTGATACTCCCACTCCCATCTTTGATACTTGTTCACTAAATCCTCTCATCGCTTCCATTTCTCGATTCTTTACTACATCCAAATGAATATATCCAATATTTGCATAATCCTTCTTTTCTTGTTCAACCGATAATATCTCTTTTATATGTGATAACTTGATAATACGAAATGAACTATGCTTTGCCCCTTCAGAACTAGAACAGTGTAAGTAACAGTTAAGGGTAATATCATTTGTTTATATGGATTGTTATTAAATATATATAAAAAAGGATATCAAGTACGAGACAGTTTGTCATTTTGTCTAATGTATAAATACTGCCTTCCATCTGTTCATTTAACACAGTCTTGACTTTAATCTGTCTACCAAGCAATGTCTCAGCTGCATTCATTGTCTTGATCTGCTTCCTTCTGTCGTCCATCTTTAAAAAAAATGAAAGAAAAAAAGAAAAAGGGAAATAGCACCATTTTTTTAATTTTGTTGCGCCTCATCCCTTTCCTTGCGGGCTTTTTTTTTTTTTTTTTTTCTTTGTTCCATTTGCCCATATTCCATATGCTGTAAATATAACTGTTGTTTCTTTTATTCATGAACCATATTCAAGAGTAACTATGCCAACAAAAAGAGGATACTGTTATCAATTTGCTTTTCTTGACGATCACACCGTGTCAACAATCAAGTCACATGCCCAACCTCTTCCTTGTCGCTAAAGAAAGTGACAAGATACAAAATTCCTTTGAATTCAAACTGTGTCCATTTATAGTCCCCATTTGCCTATCTTCTTCTTTTTCTTCTCTCTCTCTTTTTTTTCATCATTCATTATGCGTTTCATAACACTTGCTGCTGTTGTAGCACTACTTTCAAATCCAGTCTTGTCTGCCATGACAGGTCCAAATGATCCACGTATCGAACAATGGAATCGAATGAAAATCGCGATGCCAGACGGTATCTTGCCTGAAGAGAACCCCATTGTTCGTGTGAATGAAGAACAGAGCTCACCACTTACTCGTCCCATGCATAGACATCAGTTAAATCAGGGCCAAGGTTACAAACAGATGGCTATGCCTCAAAACTTGAAGCATGTTGCTCCTTTGCCTCCTCGTGCTGCCCAGGTTGTGTCATCTCGTGCGAGCAAACAAGGTATGTCTCTCCCCCAAAAAAAAGAAGTAATTATCTAGTTTGGGTACTTATTTTAAAAATAAAAGCTGCATCACCTACACCAAGACCCTTTAGAAAACTCATTGCTCTAGATGATAAAGGAAACCGTCAAACATTATCCACTGAAGAAACCTCTGCTCGTGCTTTACTGAAAAAAGGATTGATCCAAGAAAAGCAAGTGGTCGGTATGGACAGCGAAGGAAATGTAGAAATCTTGGATATCCCTGCATATAATCGTCATTAATTTAACTTAATAAAATTCTTAAACTAAGATCTATTTGGTCTTGTTTTAAAGATGCTGTTTTTTTATTGTATTTAAACATCCAAAGGAACCTACAAGACATGAATCAGGAGGGGGATGGATACAAAAAAGGAAACTTACCTTGTCGTCATACCACCATATCTTGGCTGTCTGATCGTCACTACAGCTCACCAACATGCCCTGTTTTGGGTTCCAAGCAGCTTCGTAGACCACACCACTGTGACCACGTAGTCTCTGGAGTACTTCGCCTGTTTCCTGGTCCCAAATATAGACAACACCATCCTCACTACCACCCACAATCAGGTGATGATCAGCAAAACCAGCACGGATAAAGTTCTTGGAAGTGTTCTGGTGTCCCTTGAGCTTACGAATTGGACGTACCATACGCACATCCCAGAGTCGATTGGAATTGTCTTTAGAACTACTCAACAGTAGAGTTCCACTCGAATTCATCTCCACAGACGTCACTTCGCCCAGATGTGGCGAGATGGTACGAATACAGAGACCAGAAACAATATCCCAGAATTTGATCGTATTGTCTTTTGAACTACTGATCACTAGATTACCAAGTGGATTAAATATCGTCTTAGTCACCGCCAGCTGATGTCCAGTAAAGGTCTTTACGATCGATCCAGTGTTAACATCAAAGAGTCTAACTGTCTTGTCATAACCACCAGTGACCACATGAGTCTAAACAAACAAAACATTAGATTTTGAAGGTATAAGCCTGTCTAAACTTGCCTCGTCTGGATGATACTTGACAGAGTAAACATCACCCGAGTGACCAGTCAAAGTCATCACATCTTTTTTATTCTTTAGACTCCAGATCTTGACAGTTGTGTCTCCACTGGCACTGGCGACAAAGTCACCTTGTCGAGTACTTGACAGGTCCCATATACGGGACCGGTGTCCTTCAAAGACATGTAGACACTCTCCCGTCTCAGTTTCCCAGAGACGGAGGGTATTATCGCTCGAACCAGAGACAATCCGTTTTCCTTCTTCGCCAATGAATTCTACACATTTCACATTACCTTGATGGCCCTTGAGCGTAGCACGTACAGCGTTCGGTATCACGAACCCACTATAATCATCTAATAATCTACACAACAGATATTAATACTCGTATTATGCATAGTCATATATATTACGTATTGACTGTAGGCGCAATCTTGGGATGGTATCGCGAAAACTCAATCTGGTACGCAACGGCCTGTCTGAGCAACGTCAACAGACGGTCAGGCGGGATGTGTCGATTACCGGATCTATCTGCGGTTTCAAATTCTAGAATAGTATTCAATTGATCGACGAGTGCTTCTCTAGATGCCATAATGCCTTCCCAGTGTTTGAAACTAGGTGCTTCATGAATAGATTTTGCTGTCAGTAGATAACACATATCCTTAAACTCGTTGGGTCTTGTCTGAAAGTGCTCGAGTGGCTTGAGTCGTTTGTTGAGAAAGGTAAATGCCTTTTGAATTTCGCGTTTCTCGAGATATTCCAAATACTGCTGTTTATAGACAGAGTATAAAAATGATCGATGGTTCTTTACGAGTTGTTTGGTACAGAGTTTTTCGACCTCTGGCCAGTCTCCATCCAGAATAGCCTTTTTTAGTCGCTTGATCTCCATCGTACGTTCTTCTCGCTCTTTCCACTTGACATTGGTTTCGTCATAGAGTACCGAGTGAGAGAGATGATATCCCTCGTCCTGTAAATACTGTAGAATGATGGCAATGATATCCTTGGTTATATATAAGTAAAACAATGCTCTGTATATACTGTATCTTTTCTTACTTCTTTAATTTGTGGATCGTTGGCGTTAAATATATCTTCTGTAGGTTCAATATGTGATGAATGCATGCCGACGTGCTGATTAGATGTTGCTAAACTATATACACTTTATTTAAAAAAGACTATATATACTGCTATTCTCTATTTTTACCCTCTTTGACCTCTTGCGTGTTCAGATTGAGATACGCTTACTCTATGCCTTTTAATATCTAATTTTTCTAATTCATGTTCCAATTCGTTCATTTCAGTCATGATGTATACAGATAAAAAACGAAGGCATTGTCTCTCTTTCAAAAAGAGGTCAACTGTCTTTTGAATTTTGGGAGGACACTCATTAAGGCTGAATTGTGGACTGCTTTTCATTTGATTGGCTGAATAGGTTACACGGCGATACAAAAGGGCATGAATCCCCCTCTATCCAAGTTAAAAGAGGATGATGATATTGCAACACTTTGGATCCAAAACAAGACAAAGCAAAAAAAAAAAAGTAAAAGAAAAAATAAAGAAAGAGTACATTGTATTTCATTGGCCTTATCTCTTTTTCTTTCTTTCTTTTGTATCTCGTGACTTTTTTTAGGCTCGGAAAAACTAAAAAGGCGTCAAACTTCTTTCTCAATCTCTATTGTTTTCTTCTCTTTTCTTTTTTTTTCTTTATTACATAATGAATGGTATGTAAATAGAGTGAATGATAGCTATAGGATTTAGATACATTGAAAACAATAGAATTGTATTGTAAAGCGCTCTATGACTATGATACCGACCAGACAGACGAGCTATCTATCAAGGAAGGGGAGATTGTTCGAATCTTGAATAGGGACAATGCAGATTGGTGGCTAGCAGAGAAAATAGGCCAATCCACTTCATCCGGGCTCGTACCGAGCAATGTAAGCGACTTTGTTTTCTGTATTGACGTTTTTGCTGACGCAATACACAGTTTCTTGAGACAGTTCATCTAGGTGTCGCTGTCCGTGATTATGAAGCACACGATGATCAAGAAACAAGTTTAAAGAGAGGTGATAGGGTTATTTTATTAGAGAATCAAGGTGAATGGACAGTAGTGGAAGTGAATGGAAAAACGGGACGAGTGCCATCCAGTGTAAGTAATATGGATAGAGTCGTTTAACTTTTAATTCATCAATATATACATAGTGTATAGAGGAATATTCCAGTGAAAAATCAAAAAGTAAGTTACAATAAAAAGAAAAGTAAGAGCAGAATGCTGATGTGGTTGCTTTTATCTCGAAGCATTTAAATTGGCTGCATATGGAGTCAAACAGGGAGGAATTGGAAGTATTCTGGCAGGCGGTATACTCAAGAGGTCATCAACAATCAAGGAAAACGAGGAAGAGGGACCAAAGCCGCCCCCAAGACCTATAAGTGACCCAAAGAGTAGAGCAAAAGCAAAGTGATTATCTTTTATATAGTTATTAATGACTCGTGTGACTTTAGATGAAACTACCAAGGCTATGGTCATTCACGATTATTCCGCAGAAAACAATGGTAAGAAACCAAAAAAAAAAAAGAAGGCAACGGTCAATAAACACACAGCTGTATAGATGAGATCGAATTGATGAGAGGGGAGCATGTGACAGTATTAGAGCAAAACGGAGAGTGGTGGAAAGGATCAAACGAGAGGGGGCAGATCGGCATATTTCCAGCCAACTTTGTACAAATCATTGATCAAACGCCTCCTCCACGACCCACTCGCGCCCGACCTGCGACAGTACAGAAACAGGAAGAGTCAACGGGGGCTGGTGGGCCGCCACCCGTGCCAGTGGGCACCAGACCAACATCCCTTCTGACCAACCGCGATTCACTCAGTCCTTCTCGTCCACCCACGTCTCCTCCATCAAGACCTGTCACATCACCTCCGTCTAGACCTGTTACATCACCTCCACCCAGGCCCACGACTGCTCCACGACCACCATCAATCAATACGCACAAACGTACACCTTCAATACCAGCTGTATCACCTGATTTGCCGCCACTATCGCCTGTCTATTCAACAAGACCGGTAGTGCCTAGACCTACAAGTTCCATAGACGCGGCCATGACGAATATGGCTAAACCACCAAAGATTGTAAGATATAGCATAGTGTAATGACATATTACTAACAAGCATTTTAGCCCAAGGTACCAACAGCAGCGTCTACCACTTCAACAACAACACCAGCACGTAAGTTTTTGTAAAGCAATTCCATTCACCCACTAACCATTCTTTTGAACAGCAACTGCTCCACCGCGCCCACCTTCTACGCAAGAATCACATCCGCCTATTCCTAAACGATCAATGCCTTCTCCACCACCTCCTGCTCAGCCTTCAAGTGATGACCTTCAAAGGATCATTGACGCTGAAATAGACAAGTTACGACAGGAGTTTGAAATGAAATTGCAGGAAGAAAGAAAACGATTGGAAGAATTGATTTTATCTCGCTTTTCCAAATAAAATGAAAACCAATTACAGTCAGTTTGTAGCTTGGTACGAGTGTTTAGTAAAACCTTTTATAAAGACACCTCATTCTCAACCAACACGGTGTGGGTATGCGACTATCAAGAGACCACCTAAGCCATTTGAATGGATGGACGTGAGAAAAGGTAATTGAAGACATGTTCATTTCGTTTGTTTGTTTTTTTTTAATGGTGATAAAGATGAGACCGTACCTGAAAGAGATTTCCATCCTAAGAAAAGACCCAGAGTTGATGAAGAGGAAACGGAAAGCATCAAAATTTCTTGTAGTATGTTCAACCAAAGTGAGATCGTAGAAGCAAGTGGTTTGGTAAAGGGAAAGAAAGGATGAGGCGATATCATTTTAGTAAACAAATTCTATTAGGAGATTGATGAACTGTCCAGTCCAGAAACGATATATTATGATGCTCCTACACATGTTGACACTTTGCTAAATACACTTGAGCAAGTATTTGGCATGACTTCTTGGGTAACAAATCAGTATGAGTCTGTCTGCTCTGCTCTGGAGAATGACGATATCTTTACTGTACTACCAGCTGGAAAATGGCGAAATGTGTGTTATCAACTACCTGCACTAAAAAGCTGTGCAACTACTGTCGTTCTGATGCCTCAGTTAGCGTATGTTGAATGTTTCTCAATATCAGCGCTCTTCTTTCTCAATCAGCCCACGTTGACAGTAGCAGGAACGGTCTCGGCTGAAGATCTTTTAGTCAAGATCAAAGAAGCTCATTTACTTTATATAACCTATATGGATTTCCACAAACATAAATCGCTCTTTAAGGAGATCTCTCAACAAGGCCAAATTGTAAGGTTTGTCCTAGATGATGCCCATTTCCTTTCTCAATGGCACGAACAAGGGCATGTTCGATATGCTAAGGCCGTAGAGAACCTTAGACAAGATTTCCCAAACATACCCATCACAACCCTGACGGCCATACCCAATGAACGTATCTATCTCGATATCCTTCACCTTCTTGGTATACATACACATTGTAAAGTATATAAACAAAGTATTTTATTTTATTGCTGACCTTTCCTGAGCTCTTGGCTCATCACCTGTGCCATGATTTGATTACACAGTTTGGCATATGGATTTTCATTGACAGCAACTGATTTTGCTACTGGGTTGCCTAATTTAGCCCCTTCTTCAAAGTCCTGACGGGATCCTTCAAGGTCACCTTGTTGTCGTTTGATAATCGCACGTTGTGTGTATGCTTGGCGTAGTACCTTGGGCTGGCCTTGACCAAGGTCTTGGATGACGAGATTCAAGTCATCGAGTGCCTTATCTATCTTTTTATCCAGTCTATACATCTGAGCTCTTTTAAGTGACATATATGTTAGCTATGTATACATACAATAATATATATACACTACCTGTTATTGTAAGCAGAGGCATATTTAGGCTCTAATTGGATACATTGATTGATCAACTCTAACGCTTTATTTAAATCGTTTCCTTCTGCTGCACTGACAGCATCTTTCTCCAGTTGTTCGAGTTTCGGTAGTAATTCAGACGAAATTTCATATTCTATATACTTTTATAAGTTGCCTTCTTTTGTAAAAAAAAAAATCATTCTTACTTGGCTTTGTGTCTATTGTACATGCAATGGCATCCAGTGAAAGACCCTGTGCCTCTATCCTCACATGTTAACAAGAGTTTCTTTACCTTATTTATGATCTTACCAGGATTGAACATGAATTCTAAAACAGCATCATCAGAAATATTATTAGCAGCCATTCTTGATTATATATTTATAAAAAGAGAAAAGAGAAATACAAAAAGAAAAAAAAAAGTCAAGAAACAGCTGCATATTTATTGTGCATTACCCCCGTGAGAAAAAAAAAGGTATTCCGGACCTAAGCGGAAGGTATGGTTCTTTGTCGATAGATTACCAGCAATAGGACAACCAAGATGACCCAGCCTGACCATTGTCCAATTTGGTAGATATCAAATGAATTAAACAAGATATTATAAAATTGACTACCCAAAGCAGGTGCATACAGCATCCACCCCCAGTTTCTTGCAAACGCTTTGTGTGAGTTGCCAATATCTGTTATTATTGCAGGTGCCACACCAAAGGAAATGCCATAAGTCATAGAGATCAACAATGTGTATGGAGTAAGATCCTCAGGAAGGTCAGATAGATGGTGTAAGGAGATGATCAAAGATAGAACGGCAAACACAAAAATCCATAATCGACTAATACCCAGTTTATGGTGAAGCACGTCTCCAAGTGCTCCAAAAAATGCTCTGGACGCACAGTTACCCAAGCTAAACAAAGTGATATGAGAATTACGTACGTGCTGTAGGTCAACTGGATGAGTTCCTTGAAGGATTTGGCCAATGTTTGCAAGATAGACATAGCCGATGCCAAGCGTGACAAAGAGTGTACAAAATAAGGCAAGGCCAATGGGATTTATCAGAAATTGAATACCAGATTTAAGCTCTGGTTGATCAGTGGTTGGTAACACGGCAACAGGTCGGTAATCAACACTATTTAGAAAAAAGGAACCAGTCAAGATGCCCAATGACATGGAAATGGCTAGAAAAATTAGAAAATGATAGGTGGCATCTTCTGTCAAGGTAGTGTCTATCGCTATATCTTCCGATTTGAATAAAGTATCATTAATCTGTGAAAAGACAAGTCCAGAGATACCAATGGAAGCTGTCGTCATTCCGACAGCAAGGCCTCTATGCTGCTTAAAGTTTCGAGACTAATCATGGTGTTGTTTAGTATTTTTCTTTTCTGTATAAACTATGCCCTTACTTGACAATCTAGTGCACATAGAAAGGAAGCAGCACCTGCAAAGCCAGTAAGAATAAAGTATATTGTGACAAGCAGAAAATGATTTGGTAATCTGCCTGCATATGTTTGAGCTACTAAAAAGAATCCAAAGAAAACTATGGCTGAGGATAGTCTTAGGGTCTTTTTGACACCAAGGCGTTCCAATAACCAGGAACAAAGTGGACCTGAAAAAGACACGCCAATGAAACAGGCTGTACTGACGATACTTGCTTCAAAGGTAGACCATGCAAGTCTTTTATAAAGATAACTTCCATAGATTGGATAAACATACTGTGGGCCTGATACATTGGCTATCAGAAGAGCAGAAATGAATGACAATAGACTTGGTGGATGACGAAACATAAAAAGAGAAAAGAAAGAAAGAGAGAAATAAAAATGTCACAACACGTGAAATGAATTTGTTATCTTTTTCCTTGATCTTTTTCAAAAGACAACATTTATTTTGTACCCTTGAGGACCTTCTTGACAATCTTTTGTTCTTCAATCAAGAAAGCACGAACAATGCGGTTTCTGACGCAGTGAGCACAGCGGGAGCCACCATAGGCACGGCTGACAGTCTTCTTGGTCTTGGAGATGGTAGCGAATTCACGAGGACGAAGAGCCTTGATCTATAAGGAAATATTTAACATTGCATTCTACTAGTCAATCTGAGCATAAACTTACACCAGCGAGATTCTCACCACAGTCACCACAACGGGGAGCCTTGACAGGCTTCTTTTGGTATTGGAAGACAAGCTTACCACCTAATAAGTTTTAATTGCATAATTCTTTGTCCAATCTACAATTCTATTTACCGGGAGTCTTTACGGCCTTAACACGGTTGGAACGAGTGTTGTAAGAACAACGACGACGATAAGTAAGTCTCTGAGCCATTCTGTGTAATGTCGCAAAAGTTGAATTGGTAAAAAAGAAGGTTGATATATAAAAAATGATGGTTTAGTTCCTTTTCATGTCCTCATCCTTATTCATCCATCCATCCATGTATTCATTCATCTCTTAAACTGTATCAGATGATTTACCTTAATTATGCTTGATTAAGAAAAGGGGTGGAAGGGAAGGATTGATGGTTGTGTTTTCGAGGGTTATTTGCCACTTTCCGACAACTTCAGTCTCTTCGACTTCTGCTGACACTTAAATTTACCTGACAGAATACGCACCCAATCATCTTGCGCGCACACATAAATACACACATACATCACACACTTGTAAATATGATGTGAAGCATAAATATACAGAAAGGGGAAATAGTTATTTATTCATATACATGATGTGTCTTATTTTTATTAATCATCCACTCCATAACGTCTAAATAGTTAAAAGTGTTAGATTTGTTGTCTGTCTAGCTTATGTAAACTTACGCCTTCATTTCCTTGATCTCTTCTTCCTTCTTTTGCAGATTCATCTTCTTTGTCACTTTATTTTGTTGATAGTAAAGAACAATAAGATAACGGCCAAGAATGTTGAAACCTTGTAAATGTTCGCATGCATTTTTGGCATCAAAAATATCCTCATACACTACAAATGCTGTGCCTCTCGTGTCTGTCGCATTACCACTGTAAATAAAAAGTTGTCAGCACAATTATAGCTAAAGAGAGAGAAAACATTTAAATCATTTTTACACTCTAATCTGTCGAATAGGACCATATTTTCCAAATACTTCATACATTTCTTCTGTTGTGATTTTAAATGGTAGATTTCTATCGTAAATGAGTTTATGTGTATTGATTATTAAACATGTATGCTACCTCACAAATAAAACTCTGTTTACTTCTGGTGGTAATCGCACCTTGATTATAGACAAGTTAGTTTACATTGTTTTACTTTTTCATTAACCATACTGCTAATCTATTATTTGTATTCATTAAAGTAAATTGGACGAAAGCTATTATTTTTTTGCTGCGTTTGACCAGCGAATACTTTAACCTCACCGTATTCTTAAATACAGTCACAGCAGAAACAATAAATGCATTTTCCCCTTAATGTACATATCCTATTGCTTTGTTCATATTTGGGCTTTGATGCTTTCAGCACTGCTTTGAAACAATGGCAACTATGAGATAAACATACTACTCAGTTAGAAAGTTACAGTCCATGCATTTCATTCAATCAGTTATTTTCTAGAGCATCAACTACTACATTATGCTTCCATTACTCTTGAACCCAGAGAAGGCTTTTTCATGTATCAGCTTCCTAACGGACAACTGATCTTTTTTTTTTCTTGCGCTTATTTGTGTCATTAAATAAAGGTTATATTTATTCAATTAAATGCATTCCAACAAGTTTGAATCCAACGTATCCAAGAGCATGCATTTACATGTGTTTTTCTATCTTACGTTAACGCTATTTTTGTCAGTCCAAGCAAATTAGTGTGTGATGAAAAGTTGACTCAGGGCCAGTTGTACGTGCAGTCATTATGCTGCCTGTAGTTTATGCATTTATGAAAAAGTGGTCAAAAGACGAAAGCGGCGAATAGCTGCTACTGGGGGTCTCAAAAACCGATTGCTTAAAATTAAAGTGCTTCGTCCAAGCAAGTTAAGAAGCTTGAGAAGCCAAGTTGTGATATTTAGTGGCTATACCCTACTTATTTCATGTCTGAATGAAAAAGACTATATGTCGATCAGACTCTTGAACATCTTTATGAAAAAACAAGATAAGCCCACTAAAAGAGCAAGACTTTTTATTAGTTTACAATCCGACATGTGGCAAATTAGATTAACTTTCACAAGTAATGGAGTAATCTTAAACAAAGACTAGTTTGTAAAGAAGGCAAATAAGAGAATTTTATTTAAATAATCATAAAAAAAGCTAGAATCTTCGTTCACCAAACCTATTCAAATAGCTTGGATCCATCCCCCACAGGACGAAAACCTGTTCTAGCATTGTGGAGGGAAAGAAAGAAAAAAAACAAGTAGGCCCTTGATCCCAATATAGTCAATAACCCTAGACCAACGGAGTCACGCCAGGTATAGAACGCGTTGCTGTACTGCCTATGGTTAAGCCATACTCTATACCTATAACGGTCGTTGAGGTCGGCTTACCAGCCCGCATGGGAGAGTCTACCACATAATGGATAGCAGAGGTGCAACCAGGTCTCTTGGAGGCACTCTATTCGACACTAGGGGTATTGTTCACGAGAAGCCCGATGAAAACACCCCATAAAAACCCTACTTTTTGTACGTGGCTACTACTGATAAGATTCACCACGTTAACGAAAAGATCGCTAAGTTTAGATGTTGCGGTTGCGGTTGAGGTAGCAAATGCGTGAATAGAGTGCCAGCTATTCAAAATGTGAGAGATAAAAAGAGAGAAAAAAAAAAACCTGAATACACCTTTTATACCTGTGAAAATTTAAACAGTTTTAAGCCAATCAGAAATCGCTTTGGTTTGAGTATGACCTTTTATTCACATGATCAAAAACTCCAGCATCATTTTATTCCAAAGGGAACCTTAAACGAGTCATAGCCAATCATAAAAGGATTTCCAACATCCGCCATTCAAATGCTTTAGAAAACCTTCCTTTAGGATCAAACGGATAGAAAATAAAATGATAACAGATAACAAATGACCATCAGAAGTAAAAGAAATTACAAATATTTCAATTACAAAGTGTTGACCGCACTGTGCAAACACTCTCAAGATGAAGTTGTCAAGTTGGAAACAATAGAGAAAAGATTGATAACCAACCAAAGTGTAATTGTTATTGGCCTTATATTGCGTGCCAGTAATTTCTAATCACTGTATAAAAGAGTTCATTAAGGATTTAATGATTGAACATGTCTTTTTTAATCAAATAGGCACATAGAGCTAAGGGTTGTGCCAGCTATTTCCGTTTAAAGTAAAACCATATGCGCAATTATAGTTTTAAATACAGCACTCACTTCTTGTTCCTTCTATTGTATTCTTTTGTTTCCCTTAATGAACACTTTTTCCAACTTTCAAATTCCTGACGTCTGGGAAGTGAAGGTAAGATATATAGCCCTTTAGTTCTGCTTACAGTATACTAAAGCAAGCTGTGTAGGACGTCATCAATAAAGTGTAAAGTATGAAAGACACAAGAATACAGCGGTAGCTCACCTGTTTGCAATAGAAAAAATGTAGTGCTGAACTATACTGAAATGGAAGCCAAGGTTCATGAAGCAACAAATAATGAGCCTTGGGGCGCTTCAACTACTCTGTTACAAGAGATTGCTCAAGGAACTCATAACTAGTAACTATTACAATGTCAAATATAAAGAGTAGAGAGAAAATAACCACTATAAAGCCAATACTTTAATGAAATCATGCCTACTATTTATAAGCGATTTACAGAAAAGGAGCCTAAGCAATGGCGGCAGATATACAAAGTACTTGCACAAGAAGGCATTATAATAACAATAATAATAATACTTTGAGATATAGGCATTGGTCTTGTTGGACTATTTGATTAAAAATGGATCTGAAAGGGTTGTAGATGACGCTCGATCTCACGTTGCGATGATCAAAATTATGAGAAATTTCTATTACATTGATGAGAAAGGGAAGGACGAGGGATTGAACGGTATGCGTGTAGATATCGCGAACCATAGACATAAACTCATTCTTGTTGCCAAGTTCGAAACAGGGCCAAGGAAATTGTGGAACTCTTGGCTGATACAGACAGAATTAGAGAAGAAAGAAAGCTTGCTAGGAAAAATCGTAACAAATATATAGGTGTAGGCTCTGATACGGCATCAACAAGATATGTCGGGTTCGGCAGTGGTTCTCGTGGTATTAGCTTTAATGGTGATGCAATGAGCTTTGGTGAACAAACACCTTACTCTCCTCCAAAGATGGGTAAATACGATGAGGAAGATGACGAGTTTGATTCGTTTGCTTCCCCTTCGACCACCACAAGTAATAATAAATCCAAGCAAGATAAGTCAAGTCATGAAGATGACGATGACGAGTGGGGTGAATTTACGTATGGTGGTGTCGCAGAAGAGGAAAAAACCAAAGCCAGTACAACAACCAATGATGATGACTTTGCTGATTTCCAGTTTGCTGTCCCAGAAAGGAACAACAACAATAATACACAGCAATCAAGCACAGGTAACGACCTGTTTGATCTTTTAGGTGGTGATGTCAGTGCCCCTCCTACATCAATACCACAGACAACAACTGTACCTCCACAGCAGACAATAAAGCAAGAAAAAGAAATCCAGGGCACTTCTACACCAGCTACAGGAATGTGGGCACAGGCATCTAATTTTGTATCTTTGGATTCACTTGGTAAGAAATCAGATATCACTTTGAGCGCCAAAGCAGGACCCTCTATGAATTCTCTAAAGAGTACAAGTGTTCAAGCAAGTTGGAATAATTGGGCATCCAACAATGGTATCCAATCAACAGTTAACAACAATAGCAACAACCAATCTAAAAATACCAAATCTTCTCCTTTTGACGATCTCTTATCATAAGTAAGAGAATACCTGTTATCAAAAAATGTCACTCTGAAAATAAAAGACTGTACAACATGACTGTACAAATCACTTCATTAAAAGTAACCTACACAAAAATACAACTCTCTTCATTTATCTTAGTTTCAAGCCATTTTGCAAATGAAACAGACATCTTTCCACGTCGAATGTATAATGTCATTCTTAATGACAGGCTTTCATAGCGAGAGAGTATCAAGGACTTGAGCGCTGCAAGCTTTCGAAGAAGTATTCTTAGACGAGCCATATTGCCACTTGAATCGTCATGCACGCTTACCTTGGGCTCCTTCGCATGGCATTGTCAATGAGAGCTGAAGGAAACCCATACTGGATATATTCTCAGCATTCATTGTATATAAGGATAGTCATAAACGCAGAGCAAAACGCAGAGCAAGCATGATACAAGATAGTGTTAATGTGTGGTCAGTAAGCAAAGGTAAAGACGTGACAGACTACCATGACCACTTCACAGCAGAAAAGTTTGAGCAACTTTTCAAAAGTCTGCAAGTTCCTTGTCCATTATGGTAACTGTATCATTCATATGGATTGTGCATCTTACCATAAACGTCAGCCCTGTGCCTAGTTCTGCAGACAAAAAAAACAAATTTGTAGAATGGTTGGTTACGAAAGGATACCTGTAGATGAAGGAGAGCGAACTTAGTTTGGGACTAACAAAAAACGAACTTTTGGACATTGTTAAAAGAAAACATTTAACATCTGTCTACGCAAGCTACGACATCGTCAGAAAGTACAGCCATAAGTTTATGCTCATACTTCCATATCATTGCGAGCTACAGCCTATTGAAAAAGTTTGGTTGATGGCAAAGAACCCTATTGCGTACGATCCTGATCTCCACGAGACCACCAGAAACCTGAAAGAAAAAATTGATACTTCATTAAGAAGCATCGATAAAGAGTACCTTATTTCGGTTTGGAAGAAGCACCTTCAGATTTCAAAGGAGTATCAAGACGACTATGTAAAGAAATGCAAAAGAAAGAAATTTAGAAAAGATTAACGATGTTGAGATGACTTCTTCCTGAGCTTTAACTTTCCACTTTTTTATAATAAATCACAAATTTTACATTCTTGATAGCATATGCCAAAATACATCACAAAAAACCAAACCCCGAATAAAGCGAAATTTATCGGTACTGCTCTTGTAAAAATGTAGTACATAGTTTTCAAGAAAATCGTAAATAAGGCAGGGTGGAGCATTTTGAATACATTAATAAGGTTGCAGACTTTTTATTCTTGATAGCACATGCTATAATATATTAATCAAGATACAGATCACAAAAAAAAACTCAAATCCAGAATTAAGCGTAATCTATAGATACCACTCTTGTAGAAATATAGTTCATACATCTATCTGTTATCAAAAATATAGCGTTTATTTTTTTACCACGCTCTGTCGTTGTCTGAATTTCACTTGCATATAAAAAGTCAATAGACTTCCCCCTCCCTGTTTCTTTTCTTTCTTTTACGAAATGAAGCAAACAAGCACCGTCTTTTACGGCTCTATCGTTCACTCCTTATCACCACAAGACTTGGAACATGTGTCTAAGGCTGTTATAGTTGTTGATAACTCAACCGGTGTAATTACGCGTATAGAAAAAGATGTTGACGATCTTAAACACTTTTTAAAGAATGCCGACTTGACTGAAGCAAAGGTAAGAAAGAAAGAAAAAACACTTTAAGGCATCTTTTTTAAATATTTCTTCTTTAGGTTCATATTCTTCATGATGAACAGTTTTTGATGCCTGGTTTAGTAGACACACACGCAGTAAGGGAGATGATCATAACGCGTATTCGTTTAAAACTAAAAAAAAGGCATGTCAATTCATTAGCACGCTCCACAATACATGTTTGCTGGCTCTAATATGGATCACCAACTACTGGAATGGCTTAACGCTTATGTATTTCCATGTGAAGCTGCCTTTAAGGATACAAAACATGCTGCAAAGGCATATACACGAGTCATTCAACGCTTCTTGGCCAATGGAACGACAACCTGCAGCTGGTTTGCAACAATTCATCTAGATGCATGCAAGGTGCTCGTAGACACAATCGATAATTTGGGCCAGCGTGCCTATGTAGGTAAAGTGAACATGGATCAAAACTCTCCCGAGTATTATATCGAATCAACCGAGTCAAGTCTGAAGGACACGCGAGAGTTTATCGAGTACGTGCTTGGCAAGAAAGATACTCTTGTCACACCCGTCGTCACGCCGAGATTTGCCATTTCCTGTACCCGAGAGTTGATGAATGGCCTAGGAGAGTTAGCAAAGGAGTATAACTTACCTATTCAAACTCACTTGTGTGAAAACTTGGAGGAAATCAAACTCACAAAGTCAATATTTAAAGATTCCAAGGATTATACCAGCGTCTATGACGATTCTAATTTGCTGAATGAAAAGTCTTATATGGCTCACTGTGTTCATATGACAGAAGATGAACTAACGATGCTAGCTGAACGAAAGACAGGCGTTGCTCACTGTGCCAATTCTAATTTTTCCTTACACAGCGGCGTGTGTAACGTAAGACGCTTTTTAGAAAAGGGTATCAAGGTAGGCTTGGGTACGGATGTTGCAGGTGGATTCTCGCCCTCGATGTTGGACGCGGTACGCTCTACATTCTTTGCATCTAAGACAATGAAGATCATGAAGCAAAGCGAAGATTACAAATATCTGTCTGTTCCTGAATTATTCTATTTAGCTACTTTGGGAGGAGCAAAAGTGTTAAATTTGGAGCAACAAATTGGTAATTTTGTAACAGGAAAATCATTTGATGCCCTCTGGATAGACCTAAAGCATGGATCTGTTGATCTCATGGGAGGAGAGACGGGGACGCAAAAGATTGAAAAGTTCTTGTTTAATGGCAGTGACCAGAACATTCGACACGTTTATGTTCAAGGCAAGCGTGTGGCTGGAAGAAGACAAGACTAGTTTTTACCTTGAAACGCTATAAATTTCTTTATACTCTTCTGTGTAACGATTATTCTACAGGAACTCACAACAGATTTATATATAAATAAAGAATTCCCTCTTTCTTCTTTTCTCTTCTTTTTCAACTTGTTACCATGTCTCTTATTGAATTCTCATCAGAGACTAAGACAACCTTGTGGTAATAAATAAATAGCCGCGATCAAGTGTTGAGCCTGCTTTAATCAGAGCTCGTATATAGGATGGGTGATTTAGAGTCATGGATGGATGAAGAGTACATTCAGCAGTTGTGGTTTAATTATCTTGGTATTCATGTGCCTGTTAAACTCATTCGAGATAGAAAGACAGCGTAATGACATATATCTATAATTCAAATCAAGAGGAGCTAATATAAATGTAGTCTTAGTGCAGGATATGCTTTTATAGATTTCAGTAGTTGTGATATAGCACAAATGATACTTGATCGATTTAATGGCGTCCTTATGCCAAATTCAAACAAGTCATTCAAGTTGAGCTGGGCATCAGGTGGATTGGTAGACAAGAGGTATGTAACATGTTTCGTCCCTTGTTCTTCTTGATTCACACACTGAATTTAGACAAGATAACCAAAAGGGATACTCGTTGTTTATTGGTGACTTGGATTATAATGCTACAGAAGATGATGTTATGGTAACTAGCAGTTGTGCTATATGATATGACAAACTAATATAACTTTATTTAGTTTATTTTCAAATCTCGTTATCCTACATGCAAGTCAGTGAGAGTGATGACAAGCTACGACTCAGGCCTCTCTCGAGGTTATGGTTTTGTTCGTTTTACAGATCCATCAGAACAACAAAGAGCCTTAGTTGAAATGCAAGGACAAGTGATTGGCAGTCGTGCTATTCGGATTTCATTTGCGACACCAAAAAAATCAATATCACAAGGCTCTTCCTTGATAACAACGCCTACAGATTCTCCTTTACTGCAGCATCAAGATACAAACACAACCGTGTTCATCGGAGGATTGTCGGTGCCTATCACAGAGGATCAATTAAAACAATATTTTACTCCCTTTGGTGTGATTGTTTATGTAAAGATACCTCAAGGCAAAGGATGTGGATTTGTTCAATATACGACAAGGTCATCTGCAGAATTAGCTATTCAGCAAATGAATGGCTATCAGATTGGAAATTCAAACATTCGATTGTCATGGGGAACCAGGAACCACAAAAAGCAAGCAGATCCTTCGTATTTTTCACTACAGCAACAAAAGAAAGCATACAGCTATTGGATGGACGATCATATTTATGCTCTTTAAACTCTTTATTACCATTGCTCATTTAAACCAGTTTCTAAATAAACTAGTCCTATTAAAGTAATCTTGTACATTTAGCATTTGTATCAGGATAAAGCGGATCGTCTAGAGTCAATTCTTATTGGCTACAGTTTTACTTGAATTTGTCAGCCTGGAGCAATTTTTTTTCTGTTTTTTCTTCTTTCTTTCTTACTCAACCATGTCATATATTTCACAATTAAACCTTTTAGACGATTCACCTTCACTTATTCCTGAAGAACAACTTCATGAAGAACTTGCTCTTTGGGCCAATGCACAATTCACTTTTGACATGCAACCAGGGTCAGAGGCAGCAACAGAGAAACCAAGAACGAGTTATGAATTATATGCACCTATTGCACCAGCACCAACAGTAACAAATAATAAAGTGATAAACACAACTGTGGTTGTGCCAACAAAGACAACAAAAAAACAGCAACCAAAAAGAACAGCAAAAGAATTAGATGCTATTGAAGAAGACAAACGAAAAAGAAATACAGCTGCTTCAGCAAGATTCCGCTTGAAAAAGAAATTAAAGGAACAAGCATTAGAACAAACAGCTAAAGAAATGACACTAAGAGCTAAACAACTGGAAGAACGAGTGCAGGAACTAGAAAGAGAGGCAAAATGGCTTAGAGCTTTAGTGCTTGAAAAGGATCCATCCCTTTTAATAAATTTATAAATGTTCATTGGTTTATTTATGTGTCACATGAAAACTTGACTTTTGAGATTATACACTGAGGCGACATCTTTTTCATTTTATATGAAAATAGATGTATTATGAGTATTCATCATACAGTCGATAAGAATTGAATTATAACGTATCGCACAAGAATAACCTATCTTGAATTTTTGTTTTGTTCAAGTAGTTCAATAGGACAATCAAAATTAGAGAATAGTGCTTTGCTCTTAACGTTCTAAACTCATCAACTGTTACAATACTGATGTCTCCTTGTCTTCTCTTCTTTTTAATGCTCTGCAAATGGCACATATTACTCCTGTTCTATGTCCTCTGAACTTCATGCTGTCCTTCCCAATCACTCTTGAGCCAAAAGCAACCACAGGAGTGTCTTCTCTTTCGTATATACATTTCTTTTTTGCCTCCTTTGCTTCTCAGGTCTATCGACAAACAATTGTATGCTATCAAATGAATATCTAATTCCTTTCTTCTCCATTCTTTTCTGTTCTTTTCCTTGATGACGAATGAAGCCAGTGTAATTGTAGTAGTCTGCTGTCAAAACTCTTCTTACCTGGTGAGAATCTTCTCTCCTCGTTATAGGATGCTGTGAATGCGTCTTGCCTACCAGGATTTTGACCACAGAGTGAGAAGTCACCAACATGACTAAGATTTACGACATCACTTAGAAGCTGTATGTCAAAAGTGTTATCTGAGCTTTGCCCGTTTATATCTTCACTATTGCTCACGCCCTTATATAGAACCACATCTGCTGTAAAACCATCTGATCTAATCAGATCAGTAAATACTGTCCTGTTTTTTATTGCTGGTCCCTGTAAATCTTGAAAGCTATATTCAAATATCTGCTTATCTTTAAGTTTGACAAGTTAAAGATGGTATTGAGCATATTAAGCTTAGCTTCATGGCTGCTTTGTATAGGCTTATCAAAGGATGAGAGCGTATTTAGGATCATGGTTACAAATCATCATTTAAATGTAGATCTCAGGGAACAAAAAGGGAATAGTCGCGCCATATAGTTTGGTCTTTCTTGTTGATCTTGTTGTTGGGTTTCTTAGTACTTTGAATTTCAGCCATAAGTCGCTAAGTATTTCTCTAAGCATAGAAATATAAAATCCTGTAAATGCATATAAACTTTTAGGCGTAACTGGCTTAAGTATTTTTGTTTTTGAAAGCTCTTTGCGGTTCTTTCACCCATTATTATATTTGTTACATCCTCAGGCGACGTTGCTTGACCATCACAGATATACTGGTAGTAGTATTTAGCAAGTCTTTAAATATGTTTGCTATTTGACTATGTACTTAAGTGTATTTGAACTAGCAGTGTACAATATAAAGGATCGATGCTTATTTACCTGCTTCATTGACGATCTAATGGTACGAACCAAATGCTTGCCACACAGTTGCGATGTTTGATTCAAGAGGAAGCAGAATACTGGAGTTTGCCACGGAAGGGATGCCATGGATCCCCTAGTGATTAAAAAGCACGCTCTGTATTCTGTGGGGATCATGCCCTCTAAATGTGGCTACTTGAAGAAATGCTTATGCTGTTGCTAGGCTGTATCGAACCAAAAGTTATTTTGGGTAGTTTAATGCGTGCTGAAGCGCGAGTCGCGCGGCGGTTATTTAGGGGTAAGGCTTAGGAAGACGGGATGACCTTTTCGTTCTAGACTGGTTTGATCAGCTGTCTGACATAGATCACAGACGCTGTGAAACTGTCTCCCTTTGCAGATCAAATGAATATAAACAAAAAACGAAACGAAAATAATAACTTGACTTTTAAGTGATGCTTGTTAATAAATTTAGTGTGTTTTCCTTTTTTTTTTTTTT